TGAAAGCGGTAACTTTTGGTGCCCTCCTTCACTTATGGCACTGGAAATGACTGGTATAATCGCAATTGCATTTCTTACGTCTTACGCACTTCTTTGTAATCCTTGCAAAAGCCCTTCTGAGGTATTAGATCTAAGGAATGTTATAAGCTGTGTTATTATACAATGCTTTTATTTTTGTTTTTCTGTAAAGCATTTTCAATTTTCACTGTGTTTGAAAGGTGTGAAATAAATAATAAACTTGCGTATGTAGAGCGCTGTAAGGCAAAATAGTACCCGAAGAAAATGTTTGTTTTCGTTTTTTCTTCATGTTTATTATTATTTTACCAGTATTAACATTACATGTAAATCATTGAAAACAGGAGTAGAGTCACTGGTTGTTTTTTTGGATAGCAAATAAAGTGGCTACATTTGTATTGTAGATGTTGTAGACTCTTGGTTCTTATCCCTACCATTGTGAAGAAATCAATAAGTTTCTCTACCAAACACCAACACATCAGACCACTCTGAATGACAATGATTACATCTAAACATTGAATTATGCAGAAACATTGAAAAATGAGGGGAATTCCTCAAGTACTAGCTCAGTTATGAGTTAATCTTAAGTTAAATTAGCATCCATAGCGCTCACATTTTGTTAGCAGTTGGCTATTGGCTACTTTAAACTTCTAAATCTAAGTGGGGTCCTCCTACAAGAAACATTTCAATTTTTGACTTTTTAGTTCCTAAATTCTGTTGATGTTTTATTAATAAAAAATAGTAACAATACCACACACACACTTTCTAAGCTGCTTACCGTCCTGGGTTGTTGGGGGTCTGCACTGTGTGCAGAAGGCAGGACTCTGGACAGGCCACTAATCCATCGCACAGCAGACACAGACATACACATTCACACACACCCACACACACACTCACACCTAGGGCCAGTTTAGTATCTACAATTGGCCTGACTGCATGTCTTTGGACAGTGGGAGGAAACCCACGCAGACACAGGGAGAACATGCAAACTCCACACAGAAAGGACCCTGGTCACCAGGCCAGGGAATCGAACCCAGGCCCTTCTTGTTGTGATGTGACAGCACGACCCACTGCACTGATGATAGGGTGTGGCCGCGCCAGGTGCGTGGTCATTTCAAGAGGTGTGGTCATGCTGCTATAAGAGGCCATGACCTCACTGTTCTATTTGAGGCATTGTTGTTTTGTTGCCGGGGGCGTGGTCACGTCTAGGTGATCAAAGGAACAGCCCTCACCAGACAGATAAAACAGAGTGGAACTGGTGTTTATTCTGACATTGAACTTGAAGTGGTTTTCCTCTATTGCTGTTAACTGGCTGACTCTATGGAGCAGACTCTGACAACAAAAAGAAAAAAATGATTCAAAGATTCGTCCTAAAATGGGAGAAAGGCGGGAGGATTGTGACCCCATGAGAAGAGGGAGGTTGACCTCTTACAAGCTTCATCCTGTGGCACATCAGCAAAGTGGCCTGCAGCTCTGAACTACACTGCTCTAGAAAGCTAAGAGTTATATAAGTGAGCTCTTCTCCATCTCTCTGTGCCTACGTGCTCCTCACACGCCGGAGGCTGTGCGCGTTTGGATGATATCTAGGTTATCGAGAGATGGAATTGCACCGAGCCAATGGTGGTTTAGAAAAATGTGTGGGTAAATGTGTGGGAACAGTTCAAAGCCTGACGCGAAGATTAAAGTGACGGCGGGTGTTGACGGTGGCTCATCAAAGCACATCAGTAAGTGCTGAGCTGAATTCGAAATTGCTCCCCGTTTGACATATAGTGCACTCCATATACTGTAAACCCATTCATTCATGCTATACCCTGGTGCACTATGTAAGGAGGAGGGGGAGTCTACAGCACTTCAGCAGCCTGGAGCTTTTCTGCTCTCTGGTCTAGCTCAGGGGTTTCAGCCCTAAGAGGCTTAAAGTGCTGCTACCTTATTTAATACTCCTGATCCCACTTAAAGGGAATTCTGCTCTTTTTCATCTTCAAACTTTCTGCATAATTAAATTATTAATATGCAAACAAAGTTGTTCAGAGTGGTTTGGTGTGAAATGCTCCATTCTTGAGAAACTTGCCCAGTTGTTCACAGTACTGGTGACAGGAACCAAACTTCTGAAGAGTTTAATGCCTCTGAAAACTACATCAGAGGAACAATTATAGGAAATTGGTTATTAGTACATCGCCTGGATATTGTTTTATGAAAATTTTGAGATAAAATTTTGGCCTAAAATATATAGAGAACTTTATTCCAAAACACTGTATATCCATTTGTAATAATTTTGGATATTATGAATTTTCGAAAAAGAATAACAACTGACAAACCTCATAACAAACCTCCACTTTTTTAAATCTGTTCATGGTGGCGAGGTACATGCAGAGCACTGTAAGGCAAAATAGTCCTCAAAGAAAACTGTTTTTCAGATTTACCGCTATTTTTTCATCAACATTGCATTAAAACTCAGAAGACACATGTAGGTTCACTGGTGCTTTTGGATAGTAAATAAAATGGCTATATTTGCATTGTAGACACTGTGAATCTGATTGTAGACATGGTTCCTGTCACCACCACTATAAAGAAATACTTACAGTTACTACATTTCTCTACAATCCACCAAATCTCTGAATGCCTTTCTTTACATTTCAACAACTGAATTATGCAGATTTTGAAAATTACAGCAATTATTAAGCCCTTTTCTGAATCGAATTAGGTGGATTAGAGAGAAGATCAAACACTATACACTGCAGTGCTGTGGCCCAGTTTGACAACTGCAGTGAGCTAGACATTATGATTTTAAAACAGCTATATTTCCCTCCCCTCTTTGTTACCTTTGAACACTCTAAACCTAACAGGGTATTTAACCTTCCAAACAGATTCAGATTAACTGAAGGTAAGGCCTGGTTTGCAGGGACAGATTCCCATAACCCGTGGATCAGGGCTCACTATTCTTATCCACAAAGGGTTAGTGTGGCGGCAGGTTCTCATTTCAGTCAAGCAGGAGTTCACCTCATATAGCTTATCAGCTGTTTGAAGAATGAGACCAGCAGTTTAAACAGGTGGAATCAGGTGCTTCTGCTTCATTGGAGTGAAAACCAGCAGCCACATCAGCTCTTGGTGGATAAGATTGGTGTACGCTGCTCTGGATGGTTCTTTATGGCAGTCATGTAGTTCTGATTGCAACCACAGGGTGGCAGTATCAGATAATAAAGACCATGAGGAGTAGGACTTTTTTTGGAGAAGTTGACTGTTGGCTGCTCCGGTTAGGACAATGAGAAAAGAGAGTTCAAAGAATATTCAGGATTCAGGAGAAAGAACATTATTGGCTTTTAAAACCCTTTAACAACATTTAACCATAAAAGTACAGGTTACATGCATAATGTTTTTGAAAAAAAAATGCACAGACCAAAATATGATCACGTAACATTTATTGTATTTGGACATACATGCACTATAACCATGCAGTTAAATTAGTAACAAAGGTAAACAAAAAAAAAAAAAACTTTACAAGTGGCATATTTTATGGTCATGGCTAATATGACACATTTCAGCACTGTCGCCTTGATTTTGAACAAAGTACTTTGCACTTTTTACATTTTCTAACACAGACTGATTCATTTCAGAGTAAAATGCCATACGGTGCTTTTATATCACCTAAAATGAGGCCTGTGTCTGTAGTGCTATGGCTTTAACAGTCCTGAATTTTAAATAACTTTAATATAAATCAAGCCTAGCTCTAAAATAAATCTAAATCTGTTACTTAACTAAATCTGCTATTTTACCTAACAGGGCTTAATCTGTGGCTTAACCTAGTCCACTTTTTCACATGATTCATGAGTAGAAAATAAGAAATAGGAGGCTGTTTTTGGGTTTGGTTATTCAACCTTTGTACAAACACAGAAAACACATAAAACAAATTCCATAATTTTCACATAAATAAATCATTCATCGAAGAATAAAAAGTCCTGATTTCTTGGCTTTATTATCTGGAGTCAACTTAAGTGTATGAGAAATAAACAAGGCAACAGGTACATAACCGTTTCTGCCTCTCATAGCACGAGTGAGCACGGCACAATATAGACATCAACAGAAACTGAATCTCTACAGCAGCGTTTCCAGACTCCAGTCCTGCAGTCTATCTGCACGCTATGGTTTGGCGTTTTCCCTTCAGTCGGGCCACATTACAATGCCTTCTAGAGCTCAGTCACAGCAGGAAAACACAACACTGTGCAGTGCAAGTGAACTGCAGGACTTTAGAGCTTACATCTGCCTACTGAGAACCAAAAGAAGAAAAGGACATAGCAACTTTCACAGTGACAGATCACACTTATAGCTAGATACGTTTATAAAACTGGACACTCGTTATCCATCTAGTAGTGATTTTAGTTGTTCTGACCGTTAGAGTGATATAAGAAGAGGCAGGGTCATAGCTATGGTTACTTAATGATAATTCTACAAAAGTTTTCATTACATAGCTTTCATGTATATGTATATGAAGAATACAAAAAGATTTAAAAGGAAACAGATTCTACCCCTTTTAAATACGATTATATTTAATTCAATCAGCTTCTGATGGGTCACATGTATTTGCCAGATTAGAGCTGCAATTAATGGGCATCTGCTGCCGCATAATGCCTCCTTCTTGTTTTTAACCTTCAACCCCTTAAACTGCAAGAGTCTGTATGTGGGTCCACACTGTAATTCCTCACTGTCAGAGCAACATGACTTACATATTAGTGTCCTAGTAGGTACTGAATAATAATAATTATAAGCCTATTGTTCAAGGGGTTAAGAAGGCAAGAGGTAGCGGCGTTTGGAGTAACATGTTGCCGTGCCCGTGTCTAGGAACTTTGCACAAGGGCATGGTGACGGTGGCTAGAGGCAAAGCTAACCCACTGAGCCACCTCCACTTTGTATTCTAAAGCTGAAAATGTTAAAACTCACTTCAAAAATAGTGCACTGACCCTAAAAAATTCAAAATCCATTCATGTAGACAGAACAGGTAAAAACATGAGCATGAACTATGAAAAAATTCCATGCAGAAATATCTGACCTTGTTTTTGAAGTCTGTTTGTTTGTTTATCCACCTACCTATAAAAGCTGAAAGTAATCATGCATCACATGAAAGTAGCACTTGGTTGATCTAAGAGGACAATGGAAATTACCCATAAGGCAATGTTATCACCAGAGAATTCACTGCCCTAAAATGCTACACGCTACTATAGATCCTTCCGTGTGAATAGCGATTTCCATATTTCCTGAATAACGGCAAGAGTTGTCAGCGCTGAGTCAGTTTCCTAGACAAGGATTAAAGTCCTGGACACCAGCATTCTGAATGGGGTTAATCCCTGTCCAGGAAACTGCCCGTTATTTTACAACATCGGCAGCTAGTGTTTACCAGAAAAACAGTCCTATAACTTGTAGTGGACGGTAACAATAGTAATTGTAATCTAAAGCTAACTCACAGTTTTAACAGATATTGTAGTGTTTATGTAGTGTCACAGACATAATCAAGCAAAAAGCATGACTTTGGAAATATGACGATGGGTTCACATGCTTATAAAATACAACGCCAAAGTGAAAAAAAAAGATTGTATGTCAGTATCTTCCAAGACGCACCGTAATATGTCCATTCATTCATAACTGAAAGTAAAAAATAAACTCAACCATGAACAGTACAGGAGGAGCAGCAGTACATGCAAATATTCTGGTCCTATAAAATATTAAGGCACCAGAGGTATAAAAAATCCACTTGTTTTCTTCTTTTTAACTTACTTTTTTTGTTTTTTTTCTTCTTAAATAAGTTCAAGTGTTCCGAAGGCATTCTTAGTGAGTGCATAAAACATACCGGCAGGAAAAGAGAACTGATTTGTCTCAAGCTTCAGCATTGGTCATCTTCTGCAGCAGAGGGATCTGTTAAAGAGGACAACGTTTAAATTTTACATTTAGATGCACGCATATGCTGTCCCTAGTCCATCAAAGCTTCACAAGGCTCTTAATCCTCTACACTTAAGGGACTTGTGGGGTTTAGAGGGCTATTAGTCATGAAGTAGCACCACAGTGAAAACAGGAAAATTAACAGCAATGAAAGCACTGCAGTTTGAATGATGGTTCTCTTTCACATTGGAGTTTAAACCCCATTAGCTCCCCCCAACTTAGCTCCCCCCTAAACTTTAAATATTTCACAGTGAAACAAGGAAAATTCTGAAGAGAAAACCATGAAAAACCACACATTTTTGGCCATGTTTTCATCATTTTTTGACATTGAAAAAAGTGGATGTGCAGTACATGTCCATATAGACTGTAAATAAAATTATGTAACTATGTCACACACAAAATACATAATGTAAACTTGTGTAATAACTAGAGACCTCTAAAACCAGCAGTATGCTTATAAAACAATTTAGAAGCAAAGCAACAACGTTTTAGCCAGAACGTTACAGTACTTTTAGATCATGCAGTGCAGTGTGCACTAATCACCATGCTGAACTCCTAATAACCATGTTGTTTGTTCTGGGACCACCCCCTGACTGTGACTGGCCCACATGGTGTCACATGGTTGCCTGCATCTCAGTATGGAGCCTCTAGCTGGGAGATGTACTTTTTAAGTATATTTACAACAGCGTGTTCGGCAGTAGTTGGATTTTGTTTAGCTCTTTAATTGTTTGAAGTACACTGCTGGCCTAAGGGTTAAGGCTCAGATGCACCCCTGCCTACCTTGGACAGATCCACGCCTGTGAGCGCGTTGACAGACACAGGCAGCTCAGCCAGCAGACGATTCACTTCACCCGTCACCCGGCTGCCTTCTCCACTCAGTATCACAATCTCATTGGTCCTGGACAGAGGGGCAGAAACCTTGCCAGCAATCTGTGAGTAGGCACAGAGACCAGAGATGAGCACTTGACACCCAACTTCAGAGCTTCTGTTTTTCTGACCAAATTGAGCAGCAGACTTCTAATACAGTTTCTGACAAAATTCCAAAACCGTTCCTTCACCTTTGGCAGCGCTTCCAGAACCAGAGCAGTCTTGGCAGCCTCTCCGTACTGCTGGTAAGCTTCCGCCTTCAGCCTCATCCTCTCTGCCTCGGCTTTGCCCACCGCCTCAATAGATCTGGCCTCCGCCTCCCCGACCTTCCGAATTTTCTCTGCCTCGGCCTGCGCAGTCAGCACCTTCTTCATCCTTTTGAAGGGAAGAACCACTTCATCATTCATTTCAATCAATGCCACTCTGATCTATCTCTAGCTGGAGAAACACAAAAAGAGCATTTGCTTGCAGCAAGAGCCCGAAGAATCTCTCTGGAGCGTTTGGTCAAAGTGAACGTACTTCTGGCCCTCAGCCAGCTGCTCCATCTTGTAAGCTTCAGCCTCGGCGGGCCGTTTGACTGTAGCAACCAGCTCCTTCTCTGTCCTATCGATCTCTTTCTCCTCAATGACGATTTGCTTCTTCCTCTGCACCACTTCAATCTCGACCTCCTCCAGACGGATCTTCTGCTGCTCCTTAGCTGCTTGCAGCTCATAAGCCAGCTGGGCCTCTGCTTTCTGCTCAGGCATATATAACAATGCGCGATATGATCAGGAGACATTCTAATAAGGGTTTTCCACAACTATGCATTTTTAGCCTTTTATGAAATCTGGCACATTTGTTATTGACATTATCGGTTACTATTACTATAGGTATTATTATTATCACCATAATTAAACTTTCTTTCTACCAGTTGTATGGTTTCTGGTCAGTAAATACAGTACTGTGCAAAAATCTTATAGGAATCTGATAAAAGGATATGTAAAGCTTATCTGGGCGGTAAGCATTTGTTTGTTTAAAAAAAACATCAACAACTGAATAAATACAAAGAAACAAAACAATGTTATTCATTGTTATGAATGTCTGTAATCATTTCCAAACCGCCCAGCATTTGCAGTTACCAATACCTGCTTTAGCTAATTAATCCTTCATTATATTAAATGAAATGTGTGCCTGATAGAATTGAAAGGGAAATTCCACCAATTTTTTCAAAATTTATGTTTTCGAATTCAAGAACCAAACCTACTATTCTTCTAACCAAGATATCCGCTTTTTAAAAAACAAGAAATTCTTGTTATTTTAACTGTATTTGTGTTACTGGAATTTATTCCAATGTTATATAAACTGCTGAAATAATTTTCATGACTGCCTTTTGCACAGTACTGTTTACACCCATTTCCAAGACCTCACACCAATTAAGCCACACCCACTTATAGTTTGTTTCCAGATATAATTTTGCCTGTAGAACAACTGCAAATAGTACTGTCTGAATATCCCTATATTCAAGTGCCTGAACTGTAATTGCTGTATACTGTAAATTACCTTTCACAGTATATAAATCAATGGATAATCGCTTACAAGAGTCCAACCACACTACAGCAATATGGGGAACAGCAAAGGATTTAACCTGACCTTGGTGTTCACTTCCTGGTTGAAGGCAGCTTTCTGTAGCTCCAACTGTCGCTTGGAGTCTGCCATTCTGGTGTCAGCCAAGAATGTGACATCCATCATTTCTTTCTTGCACTCTGCTTCCTGGGCAGAGTGAATGGAAAAGCATGTAACTTAATGACTGGTGTAATCTAATAAAGAAGGAGCTGCAGTTGGAGGCATCTTACTTTTATCCCGGCATCTCTTTCTGCCTCAGCCACGCCAATGGCTGCATCCCTCTGCACAGCGGCCGTCTGCGTTTTCCCCAGAGAGCTCAAATAGTCCAGTTTATCGTACACGTCCTACCAGGAACAAACAACACTCATCAACATCTTTCAGATGATCTTCATTGAAATTTAATTTTGAGACTGAAATCTGTGTATTCATTTCTCATGTTCTTTTCCACTGCAATCTATAGCAGAAGTGTCACACAGAACCTCGAGCAGATCAAAAACAAAGATCAATAATAATACAGGGAAGAAAATAAGAGAAATCCCCAGGACGCAGTTGTGTTTGATTTTGCTTCAAGTGACCAGGTCAAATCTTCACTGCAGTGCTTACTTTAATAGTGAAGCTGAGGATCTCGATGCCCATTCGGCCCACGTCAGGGGCGGCCACCTCACGCACCAGCTGGGCAAACTGGTCCCTGTCCTGGTAGATCTGCTCTACTGTCAGTGTGCCTGTGAAGTGGTGAGAAACAAGCTGAAGAGTGCATCGACAAAAGTGACAAACGTCAAAGTATGGGAAAAGTGTGAGCATAATGACTATTTGTACTTTGCAATGTTTTCACCTAAAATTGAGCGTAAATGCCCTTCCAGGGTTTGTAGGACCACAGCCTTGATTTCCATCACGGATTTCCCCAAAAACTGCTCACAAGCAATAGCCAGCAAGTCCTGGTCAGTCATAACCTTCACCTAATCAAAATGCAGGTTTTAGGATGTTAAAATTGTTAACATAAGAACTAAAAACAGTTAATCATTTATAAACAGAAAAAAGACTGAATCTAATATATACAAATATACGATGCACAGCCAGAAGTATGTGAACCCTTCAATATTACACCCATATATACTTGTTGAGCATCTCATTTCAAAACCAAGGTAGTCCCCCTTTGCTGTTAGAACAGTGTCCGCTTTTCTGGGAAGGCTTTTTGCTAGATTTATGCTGGGTGCTGATGTTGGGTTTGATAGGTCATTCCAGTATTTTCAAAAGGAGTTGCGGTCAGGGCTCTGTGCAGGCCAGTTAAGTTCTTCCACGCTCCAAACTCCACAAACCATGTGTTTATGGACCTCACTTTGTGTGTGTGGGGGGGGGGATGGTCATGTTTGACCACAAAGTGAAATGGGCTTCTATAACCTGTTGCCACAAAGTTAGATATGCACAGTTCTGTAAAGTACCACTGTATGTTGTAGCCTTATGATTTCTTTTCACTGGAACCAAGGGGCCCAGATTAAACCACGTAAACAGACCATTATACCTCCTCCACCAAACTTTACATTTGGCACTAGGCATTCCGGCAGGTAGAGTTCTCCTGGCATCTGCTAAACCCAGATTTGTTAATCAGACTGCCAGATGGTGAAGTGTGATTCATCACTCCAGAGCCCAATGGCAGTGTGCTTTACACATGTACTTAAATTATGTGAATGGTAATAGAAACGTAATACACTGTAAAATAGCACTGTTTAAAGTCTGTTTACCTGAGCCACCCCGGTGACTGTAATGGCGACTCCTTCAGCCGTTTCCACACCTTCACACTTAGGTTGTAAAGTCATAATCTCCAGTGTGATTCTATGAGAAAAGTCATTACAACGAATCAATTAAAATTCATTACAACCAATTTATGAAGATAAAAAAAACAACTTCATATTTAATATTTTATACAGGTGCAGTAGTTCAGTGGCCTGTCCCTGCTCCCTAAATATCAGAGGAATTCATGGAAAACGTGTGCAATGTTGTTAGACAAAACAATTATGTTTACCCCAGTACAAACAATCATAGGGGTTTACACTGTTAGAGAGATCCTTACTCTTAGTCAGAGGAATACATACTACTGCTGTTTATAGCAGAGCACTTTAAATCTGTAAAGCCTAAAAGTGATTTGACAATAAATATGACATTAGAGCATAACAAGTCATATTGTTAAAGGCGCAGAAGCACATAATGAGACGTGGCACTCCACTGACAAAATACAGAGGCTGGTTTCTAAAACATAATCAGATCAGACTGCTGCAGAGTGAGCTAGATACAAGTCATAAACTGGATGTTCAGAGATTTTTTTTACATAATCAAATAAATACTAAAGAGAGTAGGATCCCTCTAAGCTCACACTGAACTAGGTGATGTGTACCATCAATAAATAATACTAAAAAGAAACACTGTTTTCCAAAAGTAAGTGTAACAGAGACAAACTCAAAATTTCTATATACTACAATTTCATTGTAGAGAAACTTATCAACTAACAATGTCTACAAACCAAATATAATGAATAGTTTTATTTACTATCCAAAACCTACATCTACACACGTCTTCAGTTTATATGTAATGTAGTTTTTATATGTAACGTTGATGGGTTAAAAAAAAACTTTTCTTTATGTACTATGTTGCTTTACAACACCTTACATGTACCTCTATGCTTCAATAGCAAAACTTCATTATAAAAAGTGTCTCAGGCATCAGGCAGCATGTTTGTATGGAAGAGTTTTTCCAGGCATTAAACCCTTTGGAGGTCTGGTTCCCATTACCCAGGCTGTGAACAATAGTGACTCTAGAATGGAGCATTTCACATCAAACCACTCCAAACAACTTTGTTTACATCTTAAACATTTAGTTATGCAGACGTTTTGAAAAAATCCTTTAATCCCCAGCTATCAATCAATGTTAAGTCCGATTCAGACACCATTTTAAACAGTACAGTACTTTGGGTGTATACTTGGAATGAATGATTGTGAAAGGTAATAGCAGATTCTTGGTATCGTTTTAAATGATCTAGATAACAGAAACCATGGAATCTAAATAATTATCCAGCTATTTAGATTTTAAGGTTTCTATTACACTTGCTGTAGACATTCTTGAAGTAAGACAGTAAAAGGGACCAGACCAGATTCTTGTAAATTATGAGTATGAGGCAAGTTGTATGCTCAGTATCCCAGAGGTACCCACTTGGAGAGCTGATTTAACCACATCTTAGAAGGAACTTGCGGCTTTAACTAGGGACGCGCAATGACATCAGAATAGATAATTGCTTAAAAATCAATATCAGCGTCAAGTAGTTTAGATTTGACTGATCCTTGATGATGTATTAGTTGTACTTTGGAAGAGCCGAATGTTTAGGCGACGCTGGGCTGCTGCTCTAAAATATCTGTTATATTCACTTTACTGCATTTGTAACCCCATACAAATAAGTGTTAGATTTCTTTGTAATGCTAATACAGGTGGATTTATATTAACGTTATATATAATACATAAACACTGATATTTCCATATTGACAGATACACACAAGAAAAATACCGGATGTTGGCCCACATTTCCCATATCGGTGCATCCCTAGCTTTGACCATAATAACATGATATGCTTTTAGCAAAGTAAATTTGAATATGTAAAAGACAACTGACATTACAGTCCAAAGACATGTTTACAGAATTTAACACATATACAGCTGGAGACACGGAGAAATTGTCAGTTATTTTCTGTATGGAAGGATGAGTCCTTTCCAGTAACCCTGTGTTTGTCACAAAACCAGTATATGTGTATTATAGTACCTACATCCATAGAACACTTTAATTAGCACCTAAACATTTTCTGCAGACTGAGGTAAGATCATTCCTCATTACTATTTTTTTGTATCTTTTGACATATATGGGGACCATGAGGAGGTTTATTCATGCTACACTGTTCCAAGGTTTGGCAGTATGCATGGAAAAACCCCAGCCCTAATAAAGACATGGTAATGATTTGTCACACTTAGCGAGGCCATTTTCCATAATGCACAAAACACCCATGCACCATGTTTATGCACTGAGAAACTGGATTCCTCCTACAGGTTATCATGTGAGGATAGCACAGCACGGCTGACAAACCAGCTTAATTTGATCTATTAAACGTTTAGCTGTAACTCAAATCAATTCAAAATAGTGGTATCAACAAATATGCACACAAAGGCTAGAATTGTTGTACCTCTAGTAAATACAAGATGTCATGTTTGCTGTATCTTTCTAACACCAGCCTGGAGAAGCCATGCATCCAACCATGTTACTGTCTCGTAGGTGTATCTCAACATCTACGCCTACACAAAAATGAGCAATACAAAACAACTGGCTGTGTCTGGTGCTGTCAGCACAGTTATCTACCTGAGTGTTCAACAAGTTAGCGTGCCGCTGCTGCTATGTTAAGCATTTCTGCACGTGACACACCTCAGCCCAGGCTGTCTGAACCCCTCTTTACTCATCCACCACCAGCATGGCATCCCAGAGAGACATAAATAAATCAACTTCCCCTCAGCAGGGAGTTCCTACGAGCGCATGAAGCTACAGTGTATGGGTAAAATAAGTGCTCTCTAGTAAACTTAATGATAGATGTAGTTAGCATGGTAATGAATATAGGACTACAGAGTTTCCCTTTAAAGATACTATAGAGCATGTGTATTTATTCATTTAACAACATTTATGAACTAAATAAACTAAATAATATTGAAACAAGTAAAGAAATACAGTAGGTTGTCTATTATGGTATAATCCTTTTCTTGTTTTGATGAATGGCTAGCCAGATAAATTAAAGGGACACTCATGAAAAATGTCACCATGGCTGCATCTCTTGTAAACATCCTTACTCACTTCCTACAGTGGTGCTACAATAGTCCCAAGAGCATGATTTTCTGTTTTGAAGACTAGGAAACCCCATTTAGATGATGTATTTTGAAGGTGGGAAAAATGTGTGAACAACTTGTGTGGATGGAATGAGGACAGGCTGTTCCAAATGTTTTTTATCCTGGTTCTGCTAACTGGTGAATGCTAAACGAAGCCAGACAGCTATTATGTTACTGCTGGGAAGCTGAATATAAATAACATCTGTATTTATTGGACTCTAAGTCAGTGCATTTCGTTATCTGCATCGGGCTTGGGTGGCCTGGGATTCCCAATTATGACGTATTTGTGTAATGCATGCTGGGTATTTTAGGGAGAGAACAAGGATGGATGAACAAACAAAAAGCACACAAACTGATGAGGCTGAAGGATGTAATGCTGCACTACAAAATATTACATAACATGACAAACAACATATTAAATGCAAATTTTAGGCAAGAATGCAGTTTTTAAATGTAGCTTATGTTATCCAGCTTATTGAGAAGTGCTGCTTTGTGAAATACCCCCAGTTCACGAGAAAAATCATCAACAAAACCTTACCTTTGTGTGTCCGACAGGAACCACCATGCCCAGGCCCATCCGCCCACCACATAGGTCTTCTCATCTGAACCACTACAGCCACCTAGAAGAGATGAGAGCCACGACTGTAATTCAGACGTGCTCAAACTACTTAGCCAGTCATAAAAATATAGTTTACCACTCAGAGCAACGTTCACAGAGAAAGTCTTACATTAAATGCCCCGTATCATAAACTGTGAGACTGCAAATTGCTATTGACAGAACCAAAGCACAGAACGTTTAAAACGGGGCTGAAGTTGGTTTCCTATCCGCCAGCTTCTTGTTCGAATTTTCCCGTTCCACCTTAAATGGTGCAGCAGTTATATATAACTGCTCTGCCACTTAAGGTGGAACGGGACAATTCGAACAAGAATCTGGCGAATAGGAAACCAACTTCAGCCGCGTACGTTTGAACTAAGCCTGATACTGAGCGCCAGTTAATACTACAGCGTGTTCACTGAATTCATAATCATTTAAAGGGCATTTTTGTGTCAGTCGAGACCTATCTAATGTCAGCTGCCCACCCCTGGAAATGAATGTCGTGAGTGAGGGAGAATGCACGACATGATAGAAAACATGAAGACAAATAAGCTACATGCAGCTTGAGCTCATCTTGGGCAGACTAACGTTATGAGCTGCCTGGCCGTGAATTATTATTAGAATGAATCTGCTTCATAGAAAATGTTAGCCAGCCACAGCTCACCTACTACTGGAGATGAACTGTACCGATAAAGGCTTCTGATATATGAAATCCGACTGAACACTGTACGCTCATCTGCTCATTTAATATAACGCTGAGGATGAGACTGCTAGCGCAGCCCGTTAGCCAAATAAATGAACCAGCTAGCAAGCATGCTAACATACCTGACACAACGAGGGCTTCATTCGGTCCTACGGTCAAGCAGCTACCCATACTCGCATATGTGGCTTACTAATAAATAACGTTACTCAAAACGAACTGTTAGTGCTGTGCTCGGAAATTACGTTTAGCTTGCCTGTCCGGTCACAAATTTGTTTGGTTTCCTCTCAAGTGGCTGCCTCCGCCCCAATGAGGAACCGATTGGCATCATCCTAGTTTGTCAACACGGCTAGCCCTGCCCACCGAGCCGCACTCAGGGTGGGAACAGAGAGATTATAGGTGAGGGGGCACAGACGGTCTTAAATTCTGTTCATGAGAAATACAGATATATCAGAACAGTCTCTCAGTTGCTGCCAAGCAGCTCTGTGATTTTATTGGACTTGGTTAGATAACTGAATATGGGTAACTGTAGCTAACTGTATATAACTGGTAATAACAATGAGGGGAACAAGTATTTAGACACGTGTTTTTTTTGTTTGTTTGTTATTTAATGGACTGTTTTTGTTATTTAATTGATATATCCACATAAATTTACACATGTAATGGCTTTGAGTGTATTTGTATGTTTTATGTACACCAATCAGCCATAACATTAAAACCACCTCCTTGTTTATACACTTACTGTCCATTTTATCAGCTCCACTTACCAAATAGGAGCACTTTGTAGTTCTACAATTACAGACTGTAATCCATCTGTTTCTCTGTATGCTCCCTTTCATTCTGTTCTTCAATGGTCAGGATCCCCATAGGACCACCACAGAGCAGGTAATATTTGGGTGGTGGATCATTCTCAGCACTGCAGTGACGTGGTGGTGGTGTGTTGGTGTGTGTTGCGCTGGTACGAGTGGATCAGACCCAGCCATGCTGCTGGAGTTCTTAAACACCTCAGTGTCACTGCTCGACTGAGAATTGTCCACCAAAAAATATCCTGCCAACAGCGTCCTGTGGGCTGATGAAGGACTGCAGGGTGACCAACACAAACTATGCAGCAACAGATGAGCTACTGTCTCTTTGACTGACTTTGCATCTACAAGGTGGACCAACAAGGTAGGAGTGTCTAATAGAGTGGACAGTTGAAAGTCTTTGTTGGTAAAATTATGCAAACCTCTGCTTTCAGTAGCTGATGTGACCCCTTTGAGCAGCAATGACTTCAACCAAAATGTTCCTGTAACTGTTGATCAGCCCTGCACACTGACTTGGAGGAATCTTGGCCTATTCCTCTTTTTAGAACTGCTTCAACTCAGTTATATTGGTGGGCTTTCTTGCATAAATGCCATGCCTTAGGTCCTGCCACAACATTTCTACTGGATTAAGGTCTGGACTTTGACTCAGCCATTCCAAATGCAAAGTTTCTTCTGCACCAACCATTCTTTGTAGACTAACTGATGTTTTTAGGGTCATTGTCTTTCTGCAGAACCCTCATTCTGTTGAGGTTAAGTTCACTTATGGATGCCCATTTCCAGAATTCATAGCTCCATCAAATGATGGCAAGCTGTCTTGGTCCAATGGCAGCAAAACAGCACCAAATCGTGATACTGCCACCACCACGTTTCAGAGTTGGGATGAGGTTCTTGTGCTCGGATGCAGTATTCAGTTTTTGCCAAACATAACATCTCTGATTTAAGCCATAAAGATCTGTTTTGTATTCACAACATAAACACGTGGATGATTATAAACCTTTTAAAACTGAAATCTAGCAAAACTGAGTTGTTATGATTATGATATTGATTTATATGTAGTTCATCTGTCCTTGGGATCAATATTCATGGGATTATGGTAATACGTACAGCCCACGTCTGCAATCTCTGAATTATCTTTGACCACACACTCTCCTTTGACTTTCATATTAATTCTGTAGTTAAGACAGCATTTTTGCATCTTCGTAATATTGCTTGTCTCCAGCCATCCCTCAGCTTAGCATTCTCGGTTAGGCTACTGTAATGTTCTCCTATCTGGCCTCCCTCAGGGCCCTCAATAGGTATTGTATGTACAGAATACCACTGGTAGGACTGTCACCTATTCGATGAAGGCTGACCATATCACCCCTATCCTTCAGAGCCTTCACTGTTTACCTATTACATACTGTGCTCAGTACAAAGTTCTTCTTATTACATATAAAACTCTGCACGGCCTGGCTCCTCATTACCTGGTTGAGCTTCTATCAAGTAATTTAGGGCTTCTTCATGTTCCAAGATGTAACTTGACCTCAATGACCTAATTTATGGAATACTCTCCCCAAGTCTATTCGGGATGCCTCCTCTCTAGCTTCATTTAAATCTCTGTCAAAGACTTGCTATCAGTGCTCCTTTTGTACTTGAATATTATGCCTGTAATGTCCTTTTGTTATTACCTGTGTACTTCCTGCTTAATCTGTTCATGTTCTTTGATTGTAAAGCATCCTTGAGCATGGGAAAGGTGCTATATAAATAAAAGTGATGATGATGATGTGCTCCAGTGCACAAAGTGAGGTCCATAAAGACATGGTTTGATGCGTGTGGTGTAGAGGAACTCGAGTGGCCTGCACAGAGCCCTGACCTCAACCCCACTGAACACCTTTGGGATGACTTGGAACGATGATTGTGAGCCAGGCCCTCTCATCCAATATCGGTTCCCGACCTCACAAATGCTCTTTTGACTGAATGGGCACAAATTCCTACTAACACACTGCAAAGTCTTATGATAAGCCTTCCCAGAAGACTGGAGGCTATAACAGCAGTGAAGCCAACTCCATATTAATGCCCACAGTTTTAGGGCTGATGTATGTAAATGAGCTCTGTTCTGATTGGCTGTCCTGTATTTTGCCTCATTCAAAAAGCAGCCCAGGTTGAAACACTCCTTATGACTTCAGTGTGAAGGGGAAGAGCTAAACTGCTGCAGGCCAAATACAAAGGTTGATTTAAATGCAATTTCTTGACATCACAAAAAAATCCAAACAGGCTGTTTTTGCAGTTTAGATTGATAGATTTAAATAGATGGATAGACTGTATGGACTGGTGAGTGAATGGTAAGCTTTGAAAGTTTAAAAATGTTGACATGAAGTCTTGTGTTTAAAGAAATCCATTAAATGTTTTCCCTTTATCTGGGCCCTCTAATTCATATGTCTAAAAAAAGCCACTATTTCAAAATGCATTATGGATGAAAATGATGGGGAACAAAGAAGCTTTCTCAAGGACAATAACCAGAACTGGCTCAAAGGTGCATGTGGTGAAAAGACAGTTTCTGCAATTAGACTTCATTCATCCCTTAGCTGGAGGGGAATTGGTACTGCAGTGATGATAATAAGACAACCCAGAGCTCCCAGCAACAAATTCTCAAGTCTAGTCTGACCCAAAAACATGTTTTTCACAAAGAATTTTCATGGAATGATCCCACATGTCTTTTATGTTATATCTGGTGCATTGTGTCCTGGTATAGATCAGTGTGCTTCACTAACTTTCAAAGGAGAGCCACTGCAACCAAAAGAACAGTGGATGGGTGAAAGTAATCTGAGAAGGTTGGAAGCCTGGAATCCGTTGTGTAAAAACAAAAATGTTCTTGGTATAAAAATCCACAGAAATGTCGTAAGTTGACATCAGGGGAAAAATAAGATCGGACACAGCATATGTCTGAAAGCCCTAAAGGGTCATGGCTTCATATGCTTTTTTTTTGACTCCACTGTCTGTGATCACGAGTTATTTTCATTCGTTTCATTGTGATCTTGAGATATTTATGTCATTATTATGACATAAAAAACACTGTTATCAAGATAGCACTCATTATGTCATCATAATGATATAAATAACTCAAGATCTTGAGAAAACAAATGAAAATAAAAAAGGAGTAAAACTATTATCATCTGAAAATATTTAAAGTCTAAAAAAGTTCATCAAAATCTTTCTTATGTATGGAGCCCCAAAGGTAACATGGTGATTACATGGTGGTGTGGCCACAAATTAATATATCAAGGCCACAACCCTCCTATTATCTTTGGGGTTAATTTGACCCCATTCAGTGTTTAACATCTCTAAGTAAATATTTCTTGCCCAAGAAACAAAGTACCTGATACAAATTTGGGTAACAATTGTAATCATTTTCTGTAAATCATTTTCTAGCATTAAAGATAATAGGAGGGTCAACTTGTCCTACATGGAAAAAAATATATTAAAAATGTATTTGTCAAATATATTTTTGCAATGTATGAAAAAGGTCAAAAACATATTTGTTAAATGTATATTTAAATGCATTTATTTCTATTTGTTATTATATTTTTTTCAGTTGTATGTAGTTTTAACAAAGGTTACAGATACAACTAAATGACTTCTGTGTTTTGCATTGTATACTTTGCATTAACCATGTATGTATGCAGTAAGACATTGTTAACACAAAATATATTTCAAATAAACAAGATATCAAACCATCAAACTGCATTTTCACAGTATATAAAGTGTAACACTTGCTCTTGTCATGTTAAAGGCCCATTTGGTAATACTTTAAATTAAGAAACTAGAATACACATTCATTTCAAAAGGTATTCCAAATAATTAATTGCATTAGACAAGGACTTCCATACATATTCAAATGTATTTCAAAATACATTTAAATACATTTACATACATTTATTTTTGTGTGGTACTTTCCTATGTGTAATATTTCCTCACACATTTTAAAACAAATGCATTTAAAAAATATTTGGTTAATATAGCAACATATTCTGAAATACATTTTAGTGTTTGGAATGTATTTCAACATTGATTGCAGTGCATTTGAAATGTATTTCAAATGTACAAAAATACATATCCTTTTCAATTTTTTTTTCATATGGGGTGGCCTCAATAAATTCATTCATGGCCACAAGAAACTTAACTCGTGGCCTTAATACATTAATTTGTGGCCACGTCTTTTGACAAATAATCACCATGTCACCTTAGAGATTCCCTGCTTATGAAGGTCAACTGAGTAAAACTAAGTTAGCCACTACAAACCTCTGCTCTGTCGGCCTGACTCAGCTGGGCTCGGGTCTCCGCTGTTCGTGAATGAATGGAGTAGATGGTCTCGGTCATTCTGCCATTCAGTAAGAACGTAGTTGTGTATGAAAATTCAGGTGGTGCACCTGAATTTCACTGTAGGTAAACAAGCAATGACAATGAAAGGAATCTAATCTTATCTAAAAAAAAGTCTACGAGACCACACTGAGCTGTGTTTCAGTGATCGAACACGAACATTCCGCTCCGAGCAAAAAGGTGGCGCTTTAATCAGGAACAGCTCCGTGTCCGTCGCGCTGACCAACCCCCCAGAAGAAGAGCCTGGGAGAGTCGCAGTGCGCATGCGCGCCGTCCGGCTGCGGTCAGTGACTAAGCGACGCTTCACCGAGGCGACTGGCGATGCAGGAGAAAATCAACAAAATGCAGTTTTGAGACTCGAACGCGTCGCTTTAAAGATAGAGAGTAAGTTCTGCTTTAATCGCAGCTCATTCTGATCGTCTGAAACGCAGTTTGACCGGCAGCGCTGAGCGGAGAGCTGAACAGAGTCGGCACAAAGAAGAAGAGCGAGCGGGTCAGGTTAAACCAACACCAGCAGCGCTGCTAGCCGTCCGTCTGCCGAGATAGCCAGCCGGGGATTTGTGTTGTGGCTAACAAAACCCTGCGCTGTGTGGCTGTGAGGCTGTTCGGGCACAGCGGTACTTAGTTACCACGGGTCACGTTCTCCACATTCACCCCTGCAGTGAGTGCAGGACAATAGAACCGGTAGCCTTAACTACACGTAATGTTAGGGTAAGTTAGCTGTTGTTGTCGAAGCCCTGCGAGCACCGTTAAAGGCTGTTGTGTTCATTTAGCTTCTCGTCGTGCCAAAGTTTGCTGGCTAGCTCGCTTTTGCTTGCTAGCTGGGTACTTAGTACTGCTAGCTTAGCTGAGCTGAATTGAACGGATAATAGCTAGCTAGAGCCAGCCAGCTCCATTAGCCTTTGCACATTTAGTTAGCTAACCTAGCTGGCTAGCTGTGCTGGTTAGTTTGACGCCGTATGTTTAAATGTAAACCTTAGTGGAAGACGGCTTAGATCATTTCCTTTAGCTAATCTAGTGCTGCTTTGTTTTCCCAGTTCTAATTTGATATTGGGCTAAACGGCTTTCCAGGTAACCTAGTTAGCTTAATCTGTCGTGTCACTTAACGATAAGCTAGCTTTTCGGTTAAGTAACCTAACTACGTGCTGTGTCAGTCGTTATTCAGCTAAGGTTAGCTGCATGGTTATCAGTCACAGACGCACATATTAGTAGCTAGATGTTTCTACGTGTAACGGTTAATGTTTGAATAAAATGTGCCTATATACGGCGAAGTCGTCACTGGCTAGCTTACACATACCACTCAGTAACTTATCTGCTTTTCTAGTCTGCAATATTCTGCTTGAGAGAAAACGCTGTCCTTACAAGGGTAAAAGACGAGGCATTTAACAGTAAATATGCTAATACTCTAATGCAAGTAATGCGAGGTCATCTGCTTCCAGACTGATAGGTTAGTCACCTCGGATGTTTCTGGAATTGTGTCACAGCGAGCTGTACAGAGGAGGTGACGTTGCTAACTGTGACGAAGAATTTCGGCCTCCCCGGATCACAGCAAGATTGATATCTGCTGCTTAAAATGGAGGGTGTCTGGCTGCGTCTTGACTGCATTTTTTGCTGCCACCAGCCTGAAGGGAGTGAACCAAGAGAGCCTGTGGCCTGAATCTCCTGCCGTGCCCTGGGCACCTGCCAGGCTGAGTGGAGAATGGCGCTGCTGACACTGAGCCTGCAGGGTGTGCACGGTGGGCTCTGCCACCAGCTGCTCAACTGAGCTGTGTAGAAAGGTCATGGATGAATGCATGATATTTAAATAAAGGGCTTCTACAGTGAGGCAATTACAGAGCCCTTTTGTTCCTGATGGTGATTGATGTTCAGGTAAGATGGAGGCTGAAGACTCAATTTGCCACGTTTGCTCAGCTGATACGTGAGTCTAGGTGGGTTGGTCACCAGATGTAATAAGTTGCCCGTATTTGGTGCCCGCCACTTACTCTGACTTGTAACATCCATTTTCAAGTGATGGTCAGGAGGGGAGTGTTTGAGTCATGCAGGCCATATGCGGATTATGAGGAGGGAGGCGGTAGCAAGGCTTATATCGCAGTGTACTGGTGGTCTTAAGACAGTTCCTAGTGTTAAAGGTTTACAGTGAACATAGTCCACTCTGTGCTCCAAGTACAACCAAAATAGACATTTCCTTATGGTATGTATATGTGTTCATTGTAAGTAGTAGTGTGTATTAACGTTCATTTTCTGCTCGTGTGCCTTATAGTGTGATGAGGAGTGAGCGTCGGATGTTGCATTAGTGCCTGTGTGTCATGCTGGCCTGTCTGCCGGTATCAACCCCCTCTCTCCAGTTTCTCACCCACACGCAGATGAACACTGGACTTCAGAAATGTAAGTAGCTGTTGCTTTTCTCTCTTGGACCCCCTGCTGAACATAGATGAGTAAGCACTGAACTTCGCTTCCTCAGGGTGATAGTGGTTTAGGTAGTCTGCTTGTCTTATGGCAGGTATCAACAGTCTGTTAAACTCTTTTTTTCTGAGAATCAGAAAAAAACTTTTTTGAGAATCATGCATCATATGAGATCCTTACGCTAAAATACATTTCCATTAAACTTGAAGTTTGTTTTCCCATGTACACACCAAAAATCCTTAGACTAAAATATCATTTAGGTTACTACAATAATAAGTATAAATGGATAAACACCCACCATGGCCATTTTTCTTCACTTTGGAGATCTAGTTTTTTCCTGCAAGCAGTATGTTAAGAAGATTAGGTCAAAATCATACCTTGGGCATAATATGTCTCACACATTCTAGCATTTATTAATAGCCTAATCTAGCAATAATCTGCTAGAACACTTTGCCTTTGCACTTAGGTCTTTGTTTACTTCTTTGGACTTATTCTAGCTCAGCTGTTCTGTGCTCATTCTTGCATTGCACAGTTGTTTTGTTGTATGTGCAGGCTATTTCTTTTATGGTCCTTGCACTTTGTCTAAAAAGTATATTGTGTAGATGTATTGTGTATAGTGTTATGTTGCTGCCATACTGCCTTATATCACTGCCACAGAATGGTTCTGAAATCCAGTTACCTTTTGTATATTCTTGGCTGTGCTCAAGAGTCAACTTTATGATTATTTGTCTTCTCAGAACATGCAACTAAAATGGCATTATGATTGTGTATTATGGCTTTTACTCTTTGCATACTGCATGTCTGTGTGTATGTCCTTAAGTTAGTCTGTGTGGAGTGTAATTATGCAGCATTAGTTCTCTTACATATGCCATTGTGGTATGTAGCAAATCTCTGTTGAAACTTTGCGTTTTTAATGTCATATGCAAATGATCTAGCTTCTCAGGAGAGTATTTCAGAGGCTTTTTGAATTTAGAATACTTGTTTGGATGAGGTATTATTTATATATATTTTTTTATATATAAGCATGGATAATTAACTAGTACTTGTATTTGAATCTGGTTGTCAGATGTGCTCCACTTTTCTCGTGATATATTCTTTCCTCTCTTTCTCAGGGGACACTACGCAGAAGATGAGATCTGCACAGTATCCAACCCCAGCGGAATTGGATGCGTATGCTAAGAAAGTTGCCAATAACCCACTGACTATAAAAATCTTCCCCAGTAGCGTGAAAGTACCTCAGAGAAAGCATCTCCGGCGTACAGTGAACGGTCTTGACACATCCAGTCAGCGATACAGTCCTTACCCATCTCAGGTCAGCACCAGGACAGGCCTCTTGGCCATAGTCAAAGTTCCTGTTAAAGGAATCCTCAAGGAGTTTGAAGGCGGCCGAGCCCGCTTCCTCCCCAAGATCGTCATGAACCCGCAGAGTGGACCCTACGGCACTCCAAGCACTTTAAACCTGCCTCAGACTGTTCCCCGCATGCAGGCACTCTCCCAGCCACAGCTGTTGGCCCAGAAGAGCCTCGCCCACCCTCAGAGCTTGCAGGCCCAGCAGGCCCTTCCCCATCCCCATACGATGCAGCAGCAGAAGGTCCTAGCTCATCCTCCCAGTTTACAACAGCAGCAAAGCCTGGGCCATCAGCAGACTGTCCATCCTAGCCTGGCTAGCCAGCAGCCTGCGCCTCATCATACTCTCAACCACCAACACGCCCTCGTGCAACAGCAGCAGCAGCACCACCAGTCAGGTTCACAGGGCCTCCGGCACCTTCCTGACATGACTCAGTCAGCCTGCCTGCAGCACGCCCAGGGTTTCCCCCAATCTCAGCAGGTTCCTCAAGCCACTGGTGCAGGCCCTCCAGCCTCCAGTGGCGTCATGCAGCCACTGCAGCACCCACCAGGCATGCAGGTTCCTGGCAAGCTCCCTGATGCTGATGCCCCTCCTAATGTGACTGTGTCTACCTCAACTATCCCGCTGTCTATGGCTGCCAGCCTGCACCAGAACCGGCCCGGCGACCTGAACAGTATCGTGCACCAGATCAACCAGTTCTGCCAGGCCCGGGCTGGCGTGAGCGCTACCTCCGTGTGCGAAGGACAGATTGCCAACCCCAGCCCCATCAGCCGCAACCTGCTCATTAACGCCAGCTCCAGAGTGTGCACCCACAACCCTCTACCCTCTTGCGCCCTCAGTAACACTTCAGACAAAGCTGGCCCCGTTCCTGCTCTAACACTGCCTAACATGGCCGCCATGAACAGGATGCCTGCTTATCATGATTTGAAGCAGCAGCAGGCCCAGCCTCAGTTGCCACAGCAACAACAACAACTTCAGCAGCGCTCATGGAACCAGCAGCAGCTGGCTCACCTCCAGCCCCTGCAGGACGGAGCCCACCCCAGCAAGAATCCACCCAGAGACGTGCCTGGCTTCCCCACCAAGAGCATGAGTTACCCACAGGACGCATGCATGGGCCAGCCATTTAGTCTGAAGCCCCTCATAGACAAGCCCACACCCTCACCCCCAGTCAGTGCCATGCCAGGGGCCATGAATTACAGCAATGGGCACTACATGCAGCCTCCATGGAACAGCATCTTGCCGACGCCAAACAGTGACAGCTCAGGGTCTCAGGACCTGGCTATTCCATTCCACGGGGGCCTTTCAGGGGCCTCCATAGACTGCACCCCTGGTGCCCAGTACAGAACCGGGGCTGGTGCCTCGGGCCAGACAAACGTGATGCAAACCATGGAGTATGTGGGCGGAGATTTCCAGGCACCCTGCTTCCGAGAGCAGAATGCGGCCATGATGAAGATGCGCAGGCCTCCAGATACAGGCGACAGTCGAAATGTACATATTCATCACCCAGGGTACAGATGAGCTGCGGCCTGCTCAGACTAGTCATCGTTCAGTGTTAGCCTCGATGTAAGGAACCTATCCCTGCTCCTCCTTTTTTGTTTCCAGTCTTGCAAGTGATCTACTGAATGTTTTCCACATTTATGGTATTTTTCCAGATTTCTTTTGACTGCTACAAAAAACCATCACTATACTCCTCTTAACTGTGTGCAAGCTTCCACTTGGCTCTTCTGATTGTGTAGATTAGATTAAGAAGTAGCCTGTGTTGGCATGTATTTATTTGCATTTAAAGAGCACGCAACCATAATGGCATCATCGCAGTTGATGAAAGCAGCGTCCGTTCTTTTCTGTGTGAGCTCAGCATTCTCGTCTAGACTTACTCAGCTGACCTTTTCAGCTAGATGTTCTCCTCTGGTTGCTTCCACAGACATGGTTTTTGCTCAAGACAGTATATGGTTAGCATATAACATGGTGTTATATTATTTCTGTAGAGGTGTATCAGTTATTTTGGTGTAGTTTACTTAATTTGTTTTTAAAGAAGTGCTAATACTGACAGGCCACACTCACTGTTCACTGAAGAGATTCTTTGGGGTGCCATGTTTCTGAGATGTGAGACTGTTTCTTCTGTGTTGTGATCTGGCATTTCTGACACAGTGATCAGAGTTTTCCCTTTCAATGTTTACATGTTAGTTTGCGCTTGTAACTTTGAATCAGTAAAAAGTGCAAATTGACACTGGGATATGCACCTATGACAAGACTGTTTCCTGAGGCTGTTGTACATGACTTGGGCTCTTTGATCGGACTGTTACCATAAGGCTTTCTCAGTGTGAACCCCCCCCTTTTGTATCAGCCAGCATTGTGCCCTTTTGTGACTTTTGCTAGATTTTCTGTTCTCCAAGTATGCCATTGGACTCATTGTTATTTTGTTGTAAAGTGGTGGGACGGTGCGTGCTTTGGAAATTGTTTTGAAATTGTTTTGTGCAGACAAGGCATAGTTTGCTATTTTGTAGTTTATTTTTCTTTCCTTTTTTCCCCCTTTTGATGCCGTTACTTGAGTTTCTAAGAAGAGGTGTTATGTTTGTCTGTACTAGTTAATATTCACTACAGGTGTTTCCAACTTTTCAGGGTGTTATGCAAAGACCATCCTTCATTTATTTAATTTCCAGAAAACGGCCATTAAGTACAAGTTGTTTGTTTTTCAACATCAGGGTTAAAATAGAAAATTCACAGGAAATTACATGGAAACCTCGACAACCAATTAACAATTTTTCAGTATCTATCTTGCTTTTAGTTTTTCACAAAATCTGCAGGGATATTTTTCCACACTTGAAAAGTCTTAGAAGTTGGCTGCATTTTATGTTTCTCACAATCCAAGTAATCCCAAACACATTCAGTGATGTTGAGGTCTGGACTCTGAGGTGGTCAGGCCATTGTTCTGAGAACACCAACAGTTTATTTGTTGGATTGACATGTTTTCTTCTTTTTTGTCTATTTCCCCTTCTCAGTAACGGCTCATTGAAATCTGCACATCCTTTCAGACTCATAATGTTGAGTTGTCTTCTCACAGTGGAAGGATGAACAGAAACAGCTGTGGATTTTTCAGATCTGAATCAAAAGTGGAGCTTGATTTTCCCCCTCTCTCTCAAAGATCAAAGATTTAAGTATCGTTTATATGGTGACAATTTTGGTGGTCTACCAGGTTTTGCATGGTTGTTAGGAATCCCATTCTCTCTCTAAAAAAACTCCACTTGTTTTCCTTTTATTTTCCTCTTCCTTGTGCAAGTAAATTATCTTATATCCAATCTCCCCAGAAACATTTCCTGAAAAATGAGTAACTTGTCCTTAATGGCCATTTTCACTGGAAATTAAATAATAGAAGAATGAGTTTTGCGTAATATGGTTTCTGTCAAGGATCTGTCTTTTGCCTTTTATATTGAAATAAGTCTGTGTGGACAGAGAGTTGATCCTACATTAGCCCTTTAACTGAGATGTTGGTTAAACTTTGGCCCAGGTTTTAAAGTGAGTGTGCAGAGGAGCCAGATTTTTCCTTCTGAAAACATTGTCATTTTTCCATTTAATGGTTATTTTTCAATCACTGTCAAAGGAAATCTTTCTTTGCGCATAAATGGATCACTTGCAAGTTTTATGGCAATATAAAAGAGGACCACAGGCTAAATGATTTGATTTATTTTATTTTATTTTTTGGGCTGTACTACTGTAACTGAGAGCTGTGATAAGCCTTGTGTGAATGCTTTGTCGGCGTGAACTGGACTGTTGTGTTTTGCTCCATTAGTAACACCATTCTGCTCTTTTTCTGGCAGGGTGATTTTCAAGGCTGTTAGAATCCATAAACTTAACTAAGTCGTTCTATTTGTTGCTAGTCCTCACAAAGTTTCATCTCAGGTGCCATCTTGTTTTTAACCTAAAATGGCTGAAATGTACTACCAGTGAAATGGACTGTTAAACAGAGAAGTAAAACAAGGGGGGGAACCAGGGGGAGGGGGGAAATCAGTGAGCTGTTTCAAAATGAAGATATGAGATATCCAGATATATGAGATATGAAGCCTGAGGTTTTCTCTCAGCCCAGTTCCATTCTCCATAGTTAACCCTGTGACATTCGTTGCTTTGGTTTATAATGAACGGTCTCCTCTGCTTCAGGAATGTTCTTGTATGACGAGTTCCTCTCTTTCTCAGGTCAACTGGTGCCTCTTCACATGCTGTCTGCCCACTTCATGTATGTTACAGTTCAGCTAATGTCCCCCCCCACCCCCACCCCCGTGACGGTGAACTGGTCTCTCCATGTATGTATCAGGGCAGGACATCTGGCAGCCAGGTGCAGGTATTGTCAGACTGCAGGCAGACTTTGGTGTAACTGATGGAGCAACCGATGAGCAGTGTGTGGGTGGTGTGAGTGACACCCAGTATCTTAGCCTCCCTGGTCGCCCCTTAAGAGCCTTAAATATTCGTTCCTCGGACTGTCCTTGATAATAGGCATGGTATAGAAGATGCTGAATTGTGATATTAGCAATTTCAATGTTTTTTTTTTTATGTGAAGTCCATAATTTTTGGGGAAAAATTTAATTCTCAAAATGAGGATGAACTTTTTGTATTTAGCAACTTAATCTATGTATAGTACTGGGCTGTAACAGATTGTCATTTTGCATCCAGACCACACCAAGTTATGTTACCCTCCTCAGCTTCATAATTTATTGTAATGGATTTGCCTGTGCAAGTCCTATGTCTGTCTCTGTGTCATGGGATTCTAAATGTAGAGTGTGAAATGATGCAGGCTGAATTGAACAGAGCTTTGTGACATGATCAATGAAGCCTGAAGGGTTTGCGACTACACGGCACAGGCTTGAGTTCATTCAGTAGGAATAGGCTAGTTCTGTTGAGGCTTCTCCCTCGTTTTGTCATTGTACTTTGCCCAGGAAGCTGCTATTTAATTCCATCCACATATTGTGAGTTACGCCTTCTTCTAAATGTCGTAAGGATAGAAACTAGTTCTAATTTATGATACGCCTTTTTGCAATGCAACATTGTTAATAGATATGTTCAGTAGTAAGTTAATGCATTTGCCTGTCAACTGCAAGCTGCTTCTCCTAATTTTTATCGTAAAGCTTGAACGTTAGATTTGACACATTTCGTTCAATCCTCATTTCATGCCTTGTTACAGCTCAAGGTTGCAAAGTCAGGTCGCTCTTTATAATAGTTACTGTTTCCATGTGAAGTGCCTCCACTGGGCGGATGTGGACTGTGTGTGTATGCGACTGCCTGGATGTGTAAGTAGGAAACGTACTGGCACAAGTGCACACTGCATAGACCCGGTGCACTGTTCATGAATGGGGGACCAAGCTACTTAAAACTACTGATATTAAAAAAAAAAACAAACACAAAACACGATGCATGTGCCGCCACAGGCATACGATCTGTTTGAATTTGAATAGTTGCTGCTGTATCATTAGTCGAGGTGGTTAAACCTACGCTGCTGAACTTCTAGTACCCTAGAAACATTCTAAGGAGTGCTTTAGAAAGTTCTTTGTATCTTACAGAGCACATGTACTCCCACTCACTCCCCTCACAAAACGACACGACGGCCGCTTTGATGCTCGGGAGTCTGTTGGGAGTTGTGCCGAGTGTGTCTCATCTTGTTCCACCAAAGAACAAAATGCCGCTTGAATGGTAGCAGTGTACACCTGTAACTGTGTAACTGAAATCTGTCATTCCAGATGTCCATTTTTTTCAGGAACAATGTGTTGCACAGACATTCCCCTCTAACCAAAATAAAGTTTGACTTGCATTTGCAAAGCATGTGTTGTTCTGTACGTTCATGTCCATCAAAGCTTGATGTAATTATTGTCTCGCTTGGAGCACTTGTGGTCTTAGGTGTGTCCTCTATGGGCCTTTAGTGCATCCTTTGGCAAGGACTGCATCAATGGAGACCTAGCAGTGGCCTTTTACCCAAAATTCAGTGAGATACAGGCGATCACCAATCAGTGTGGTTTGTTTGCAGCTGTCTGATTAACACAATAGAGAAGATATTCAGGGGCCTCTCATGAAGCAGGATTTTTGCTCAACCAGTACTAACATGGTGGTAGTGCTTTTTAGCACAATAACAATTGTAGTTTTCTCCACTACTAGTCAGCTGTTGTTGGACACAGCTACACCATAGATAAGCAAAGCTTTTCTCTAACAATTTATTCTCTACCCAGCTTCTATATACACACACACCCAGGGCGGTTCTTAGCCCTACCCTTTTCCATCGCAAAATGGACCAAGTGCAATAAATGCTGGAGAAAACATAACCTAAAACTTACCGCAACGTTACTTGAACACGCTGCAATAGTTTCTACATATTTACTTTTTCCGTCTTTCAAATATAAGCCAAAAGCTACTCCTGAACAGCAAGTGAAATACAATCTGAATATTCTATAATCAATCTATAAATTACTAAAATTTGGCAGATGTGACTGAATTGGTTGCACACACTGAACTGAGAAAAATAATTCCAGTGACTGTAAGACTTAAAAGATAAGATATGTGTGTATGGCAGTGGTTACTTCAGGCTATGTGTTCCGGTAGTTTGAAGCGTCACACTGAGCACAGTTAAGATAGAAAATATTAAATGGGTATAAATAGGTCATTTAGATCCCAGCTGACAGAACAACAAATCACAGAGCCAGCTGTGTGACTAGAAGCTCTAAAGTAAGGAAAGTGGATTTGGGTAAGAATGTTGTAGCTGCAATTTCATGTATATAGATTATAATCCACAGCACTTTGCCAGAGTGTGAAATAAGACCAAGTACTCAACCCATAAATAATGGGAACACTTCTCTCATTTCTTTGGGCCAAACAGTGTTGATAACAGGTTCTACCACAGCCTTTAGACATATTAAAATGATGGTTAATGCAGGTAGGCCTCTAATGCTGACCTACATACCTAACTATCTCTTATTAGACTGAATATGACTCTTCAGACATGATTCGAACATTAATGAAGTACCATGATCAGTTTGTCATTTATTTTCTTAAAATAGTAACTGTTCAGTATTCACTCAGTGCGGTATTCATATGAATTTGAAGTTCTTTTGGCAAAGATGTTACATTTTGCTCCTTTTCAGACACTTTAATAAGAAATTTAATATGATGTCTTTAATATAGTGCATTTACAGTAACATCACAGTGCAGGTGTGATAACCAACAGCGTGCCAGATCATATGATCATCCATAATAACTGGAATAAACATACAAAACACACAAAAATAGTAAAAATGTGACCATTAAATCACAACTTTGGCTGTTATTGCTTCCATCTTCAAGTATGCACAGTATTGCATGGCTAACAACTTTGCACAGTGATCAAATGTCCTTACATTCTCTTTAAGAATAGGAAGTTCCACACAGGGACATATACGGACCAGGGGAAAGTGCGTTCTCTTTGGGATGCAGTAAAAGACTCTCATGGCTGCTGTCCAAAAGTCAGTGCACAGTAGATTTGTTTATCTGCCAATCAGATGGGTTTATTTGTCAGTCAGATGGCTTATCGTGTTGCTCTGTGGGAAATGGAGTTGTTCCCACAGTGTGTTGATCAGGTGTTGGGTCAGTGAGATGCTCCACCTCTGAAGGCTGTTTCACAGGCTCTTCTGACACTTCTACACTATCTCTGTTGTTGTTTCCATTCCTGTCAAGAGTGCAAAAAACAGTGTTATCACCACAAGACCAGGCACCAAGCTGAAGAGTTAACCAATCAGTTAAACAATGTTAATACAGTTAATTAGAAGAGATTCTGAACCCTTCAAAAAGACCTAACTTTCTGCTTTAATGGACCCTAAAATTGAATTTGATACTTATAATAATAAATAAAGCTGTCCCCATTACACTTTTTAGAGTCCACCTGAGCGTTCAGGAACTCAATCATTATATATATATATATATATATATGGTTCCCTTAGGCATTCATCAACACTGGGAGGACATTACACAAATGTAATAAGTCAAAAGTCTGTTGACCCTCATAAATCAGGCAATGGATATATATAAATTGCTACATACATGATGGGGCCACCAAAACTGTAATAAAGATATAATTTATAGCAACAAACTATTTGCTAAAAACTATTTTATTTTTTCTTTGATCTAATCAAACATAAGCTCTGGAGTTCGCTAGATGCTACTGGAACCAGATTCTATGGTCAGGTGAGACAAAACAGAGCTATTTGGTATCAAAAACTCAAGGTGGGTTTAGCATAAAAAAGGATCTTTATGCAGAAAAGAACCTCATCTCCACTGTTAAGTGTGGTGGGGAATCTGTGATATTTGAAATTAAAGGCCCTGGGAAGCTTGTTAGAACACACAGCATCATGGAATCCATAAAGTACCAGGAGATTTAACATGAAAATTTGGCTGCTTCTGCCTATAAGCTAACTCTGGGTCATAGCTGGATCTTCCAGCAGGACCATGATCTAAAACAGGCATGTCAAACCTTCTGGGCCAAAAAGCTGTGGAGATTAGTGTTTACCCTCATCTAACACTCTGAATTCAGTTCACGAAGGCCTTGCTAATTAGCTGATGGGCTGAATCATGTGTGTTTAATGACATATTCTCATTATATTCTCGTCTCAGTATTACAGGAAAAGACTCATTGCTGTAAAGGTGGCAGAGAGGGGTTGTGCAAAACTAAATGCAGGGGTGCCAATAACTGTGACTCGTGGTTATGTATGTGTGTTTGTAGGACATACTTGTTATCTTTTTCAAATTTCCTCTCCCTGTATAGGGTACTCTTCTTCATCATATATAGAAGCACCATATCACAGAAAAAGCTCCCCTGTGGAAAAAAACAAAATCAAACCATTACCAGTGATGCACAGTAATAAAAAAATCTCACAAGAGTCTGGATTGTTGTGAAGAGAGCAAAATGCCTTCAAAAAGTAAAATCCATTAGGAAAAGTCTGCAATAAGGAGATGTTTAGGCTGTTTCATACATTTAAGATTCAAATACTTACAGCACCCATTAAGGCGAGACCAGAGCCTAGATTTATAATTGTGGGAATTATATTAAACTTTCCAGCCTGAAAATAAAACACAAAATGTGTTAGATGTGTTAAACTGGCTAACACGGCCCCTAATGGCAGATCAGTCCTGTAAGAATTTCTGCTGCATACTTTGCCGTGGACCAGGATGTCGAAGCGAATCCCATACACCTTTAAAAGCGTTCTGTGAGTCTCTCCAGCAGCATTTTTGAAGTAGCGGGCGTATCTGAAGAGACAGTCACAGGGGGAGGTAAACCTTTCCACCACACTTAACTAGCGGTTTTTAACTTTTCAGTGAATGCAGACTGCAGTGTAGTGCACTGTATGAGTTGAAGGTTTACCTAAAGTTGTATCCAGATGAGACTGAGTTGGGCATGGCGTTGACATCCAGCCGTGTGAAAGTGTAGCGGGGGTGGCACTCTGAGTAGCCTTTGTCCAGGTCACAATGCCACTCAATTAGGATTCCGATTGACCCACCCTACATAAGGAGGATGCTGCATTCATATGCGGTGCTTTGTTTTAGAAGCAAGTCTGGCAAGCTTGCATGCTGACAGTGAGATAAGTGTGCTACGAACTGTTGAGTTTGTAAGTGCCATTCAGTGACAAGAGATGGAAAACTCTTTATAAGTGTATTTAAAACATGTACTATTCATATACTACTTTTAAAATGTTTCTTTTCCTGATATTTTATTTATAGAATAATATAGATAACTAGGGTTGAGTCACAATTTTCAAAAAGTCATGACAGTCTAAAAAAAAGAAAATTCTACGATTCTCTTCAACATTATATCTCTATGTGATGTCTGAACTCCATGCTCCACCAGAGGGCAGTGTAGAGCCTGCATCTTGTGTTTTGGTCATGGGTTGTAATCTGTCTAGTCCAATGAAGGAAGCTGACATTAATATTGCAGCCATCATTAAGCAGAATGTACAGCTGCTAAAGTTTAGCTTTCTAAATCCTTGGGTTTTAAAAGAAAGTCCAAAGATGAAAACTCACCAGCAGGGCCATGTCTTGAAAATCATATCCGGCTCTACGGACAATATCTCCGAGGTGAAATATGGGGCAGTATGGATGAGCAACCTCATCATACAAACACTTCTTCAGATATGTGTCCGTGGCTGTCTCTAAGACATTTGATCTGCAGAGAAAGTTAGTCAAATTAGGCAAGATACAATGTATATGTATATATGTATATGTATATATGTATGTATATATGTGTATATATATACACAATAAGCATTACAGTTAAAGTTGTCTCTCTCTCTTATCATATACACACTCTCTCTCTCTCTCTCTCTCTCTCTCTCTCTCTCTCTATATATATATATATATATATATACACACACACACAACTTTATTAATAATGCTTTAATGTCAATTATTACACTTAGTTACTTACTTTGAGAAGCCAAACTTGGGAAACCTGATGAAGTTCTTTATGTATATGGTAAACCTTTCAGTTTTTCCTAATAAAGGCACACTGTGAGGAGAGGGAAAGACCTTCATAATGAAGATGTTTAAAGTTTATATCACAGTGTGAAAAACAAATTGTTAACTTCAGGAAAAACACAGCAATAATGTATAACCACACTGAAGAATTTTCTTTTCCACAGTAGCTCTCTTGTCTTCATACGTCTTCATAATTAAGTTGTGAAGATAAAGACAAAGTCATTTAAAGTGGTTCGATGTGAAATGCTCCGTTTGAGAAAAGCTTACCGAGTCAGAATTCTTCATAGTGGTGGTGACAGGAACCAGATGTTTAAACAGATGTTGTATGCCTCTAAAAGCTACATCACAGGTAGCTATTACATAAAATTGATGAATACACTGTAAGCTTTAGGCCTAAAATATATTTTTTTTATTTATTCATGGCAGAGAGGTACCTGCAGGGAGTTCAATGGAAAAATAGTTGCAAATGAAAACTTATTTCTTCAGATTTATCACCCTTAGTGATTTTACCATCAACATTAAACGTAAAAACTCAGAAGGCATGTGTAGGATCACTAGTCATTTTAGATAGTATATAAAATGGCTATATTTGTGTTGTAGACATTGACCTCTGGTTCCTATCACCACCACTGTAAAGATATGAGAGTCTGTAAGTTTACTTTAACCATTTCGCATCAATCCACTCTGAGTGACTTTGCTTACATTGCAGCAATTAAATTATGAGAACATTCTGAAACATCTGTGTAATTCCCCTGTAACTGCAATGAGCTCTTTGCATGCCACTGTGGGTGGGCCTGTCTGAACTAATGGTTTATGATGAACCCACATTTATGAAACAACAGATAGTATTAATTTTGTCCTAATGCAGAAACAGCACTGCGTTCTTTAAAATAGTGACACACAGGTACAGTGGGTGCTAAGAGAATCTGTTCTTACTCTGGTCTGTGGCTTCTTTCAATGGGGCACCAGCCGTATATCTCACAGGTACCAGTAGAGTTCCTGTCTTTCTTCAAGCAGCGTCCAGTCTTAACTCCTGAGTTGAGGAAATGAGCTAAGCATGTTATAGTGCCATGAAAAAGTACTTCCCCTCCTGATTTTCTCTATTTTTGCATATTTGTCAAACTAAATTGTTTCAGATCTTCAAATTCAACATAATATACAGTTTTTAAATGATCATTTAATTTACTGAAGGAAAACAGTTATCTAGCTTAAACTGGCCTGTAACTGCATGTGTATAAGGATCTTATACATTTTATATAACAAACCATTTAGTGTGACAAATGTGACAAATTTGAGGAAACCTGGAAGGGGCAAATACATCAAAACCTCAATAATTTACAGATTTAAATAATAAAGCATAAAAGCAACATTTTGAATCGCATACCATTGCCAGCTATAACTGCCTCTCCCTCTGGACAGTCTCCATTCTCCCTACAGCGGCCATCTAATACCTTAAAACTCTAGAAAGAAAAGATACACCTAAAACACAAGATCAGTTCAGAATGTGCTTTAAACATAACCATGCTTTGTTCTTGGTTTATTGCCCGACAGGAGCTACCAGAGCACAGAATGGCAATGTGGAAAGTGCGGATGTTTACATACCGGCAAGTGATCTAATGAACACTATGATGGAGAAGACAGAGTGTGACTGTGACCATATGAGGCAGTGAGTAAGGCTTCCTTTGCACGCAGCTATCTAGCGCTACTGTCTGAAGGAGAGCAGCTTCTCTTGTTGGGTTAGCTTTGAAATGTGAACAGTACTGAGTCATTCAGGAGTACCTCTCATGCAGAGTCATGTTACTGATGATGCTAAGCCCTTGGGGACAGCAAAATATGGCAATGAAGAGTACAGCGGCGTGCATAATTGATGGAAGGTTGTTTAGTGGTGTTGGTAAAGCTGAGTATCTGCTGAGTAGCAGTATTTTGGGTAACAAAAGAAAATGCAGAAATCATCACAATTATTGGCCATGTTTTCATGTGTAACGACTGTCTTCTTGCTACTGAGGAGAGCTCCAGGCTAAAAGCAAGTAGTGATAAAGAGTAAATGCGACTTTCATGGATTCACTAGCAATGCCAGACTTTTTGAGCAGGCCCCCTAGCCACAAAGAGGTTCATTCACTGAGAATCAGTCGGAGCTCAGCTAAAATACCTTAACAAGACAGTCATGATCACCATACTAAAAAAAACACGGTACCAAAGTAAGAGCAACAGTCAACATCTTATCAACTCTTCCACAGGACATAGATATTTATAGTCAGTTGCCTGAACAACATTACACCAGTTTTAGTCTAATTCACCCCTGTGTGGAATGAAATAGACACTAATAAGATAAACACTGTTATATAATGTGAAACAGTCTATGAGACTGAAAATGGAACTGTTATTTGTTGAGGATCAGTCAAGAATGTTTTTGTCTCACCTCAGCGCAGTAGCCTAATCTCTGATTTGGTGTTTCCAAGAAGTTGGTGGTTATGAAAAGCACTGCCTCTCCCTGGAGAAATGGAAAAATGCATTGTCCAGTTTTAGAATATATGTGAAAAGTGAACTGGTCCAGCTTAAGAAGCACTTGATCATTAGCTAACCTATGACAGGTTGAGGAAAACATATTTACACCTACGCACACAAAAACCTCCATCTCCACATGCCAGTGCTCACCTGTTGTGGGATCACATAGTCTTCCGGCCCCCAGAGTCGTGGTCCTGTGCCTGATGTGTTGGTGAGTAAAACCCCTTTCACTTTGGTTATGACTGAACTCTGAATAGATTCGTCAGTCTCCTGGTAGCCTTTCTTCATCACGAACACCCAGCTGTACAAGACACAGCGCGTTTTTACATGACAGTACTATAAAATACTATGAATATATTCATATATATATATTCATAAGTGGGTGGTACTGTTACATGAATGAATTTATGACTCAAGTAGAGATACAATTACTTTGAGTAAAAGAGAACCTGTAGAACTGCGGTGGACATGCAGCACCGATCAGCATAAGATATGAGGTTTATTACACTCTGTTCTTCTTTTTCTGGTTTCCTTCTCTCTTTTTGAAGAACATGATAAGCCTCAAAAGACAGGTGTGACAGTTCAGATGCTGCCACCGATAATACAAACCATTATTACAAAATAAAGGAATTAAATGTTAATGACTAAAATGTAACTGAGTAAAAAGCAGATTCCTCATAAATACACTGGAGTAAAAGTTTTTATCATTTGAAAACATTATAGAGACAAAAAAAAATCATTAAAATGTTACTTGAGTAAAATGTTAGCTACCTAACTGAGTAAAGGTAACCACCCACTTCTGTATATATTATTATCTTTACAGGACTATTTACGTGTTATTATTTTTAAATTCTCACAAAATTAAGAACGGTCCTTCACAGTTTATCTTTTCACAGTTTTAAATGATTTCATAGCGCCCCTCGACTTTTATTTCTTATAAAAATCCAAATGAAGCCTTGTGAAAAACTCCCTCACTGTGGTGTGTAGCCTGTAAGCTAATACACCTGCTCAGTCCTGCAGATGAAGCAGGTTAGCAGGAGGAGCGGGAGGTGATGATCTTACCCGATGATATAGCCGAGCAGAGACAGCTGAATGAGTCTGTACAGAACTCCGACCTTCTTATTCTTCGCGATAACGTATTTCTCCGTCTTGTAGTCGAAGGCAGAGAGGAGAACTCCTCTGCAGTCCAGTGCCATGTCTGTGCTGGGTGTCTTTAACTCGCTGCCTGTCCGGCTAGGCTGCCTCTGAAGGCGCTGCGGCAGCCGGAGGCTGACAGAGCACAAACTCAGAGAGAGCGACCATCACACAGCTCACACCGCTGACTGCTCACCCCAGGACTCACTCTCCTCCTCTCACACTCTGAGGAGATACAGCTGATTTTTTAGCCTAGCAAGACATAGCTGTGAGAGAACTGTAATATAAGATAAAAAAAGTTTAACCGTGACAGAAAAAACGCCTCGCGTACTTTCTCAGTGAGGGAGCGCCCAGCGTTTTTACAATCCGGTCCACCAGGATTCCGAGCCACTCCACATTTTACTCCGTGCCAACTCCCAACACGCCTGAAGAAACCCACACAGAACAAAAGTATATAGCATAATATTTCTTCACATCCAAATATGTATGTGATATGCGATGTATGGTGATTTTTTGAGGCCACAAATAAACACATTGAGGCCACGAGTTATGAGAAACTTAACTTGTGGCCACACTATATTAATTCATGACCTCAACATAGCAATTTGTGGCCTCAATGTATTAATTTAAAAATTAAAAATAACCACCCTGTCACCTTAGCTTACAATATAAAGTAAAGTAAAGAAAATATATGTACACATATTTACTCATATCATATTGTTGTTGTTGTTATTTATCAGTTGGTGCTCCCTTTTAAATAAATGTACTTCAACTTGTATGTGTTTCAATAAATAATGAAAATGTATATAAATATTCCTTGGCATTTGGGAAGTAGTAGTCCTACGACTCTCCTAAAGCAGTTCTGAATTGAGTATTATTTTTTAAATAGCATACTTCAAAACTTCTGGGCCAGTCCACATTTTGCTCTGTCAACAGTGACTACAAGGCACAGATGTGGGTGGGAGCAGGAACACAGCAAAACATGGACTGGCTCAGGGAATCTCTAAAGATTGGTTTGGCATACGCTGTCCGGTGTTTCCCAACTCCAATCCTGTAATCCAGCCACATTGCACAGTTTCATGGTTTCCCTGCACCTGAGTCACATCATTAATAGCTAAAGTGCTTTAGTATCAGGTGTGATAGAGCAAGACCTAACAGTGCGGTGCAGAAGGACTACAGGACTGAAGCTGGGAAACGCTGCTCGAGCCCATATAGGTTTACACAGTGAGGCTTGAGTACCAGCGTCTCAATAAACCTTCATCCACTGCTGATTACCTGCTCAGGTGAGTTGAAATGGGGTGAAAATGTGGAGCTGGGCAGGCTGGGAAACAATGGAGAATTCCATGGTGTTCTGTTATTGACTGTATTCAAATTCTTCACTGTGTTTGATCAAATGACGAGAGCTAAATCTGAAGAGAGCTGAGTCAGTGTCAGATTAAGGGAGCCGGTGGTTGCAGACGTGCACTGGACTTACTTTACATTTCACTTATTTCTTCTTTTTTGCATCAGAATTCTAACACTAAACCACATACACATTCAGAAAGGCTGGCCTTCCTTTGAAATGTGCTTTGTAGATTTGGTTGCCATCTTTGCAAGACAGGTTGATCTCCTTCATTTGCCTTTATGCCTTTTCACAAACTTTTTCAAAATGTGCATTTCAGCCAAATTAGGTGTAACCTTTCTAGTTTTGTCTTCAGGGTACGCCGCCCAGTTAATCTCCGCTTATGAAAATGTAAGCTTTATCTTGATCAGTGAAACACCAGCTTTTGGTGCAATGAAATAATTGATATCTGAAATATTGCAAGAGGTCTGTAGTCCTATTCTCATTGTTATTCTTAAAGATGGTTGTCTTCTCATATTAAATACTAAAACGTGGTTTGTAAAGCATGCTTTAATGACGAGCATGGTGGAGATTTATGTTAACACTAGTTCATCTTAATCTGAGTGTGAGCCTGAAAACTGCGTGTGATTAAGATCTTGGCAAGTTCTTACTGGTTCCTAATGGATCTGTTCATTAACTTAAGCAACAGGGATCCAAGGGAGCAGCACAGCTGCAGTGAACACAGTGGGGGGGCTGCAGCCCCTCTGTGTTTAACTGCTCACCATTTCCCTGGTGGTCTTTTACTCCTCCACCTCAGAAGTAAACAGAAATCTCTGTTTAATAACAAATGGCTGTTTACCTTATATATGAGGCTGATATAGGATTGTGTCTACTAGATTTGCACTACTACTGATTATTATTATTATTATCATTGTAAAAGATTGATATTAAGAGCATTTAGCCTACAATGGCTATTCTCTGAACAGGGTGACACTTAGAATGTAACAACACTAAAAGTAAATTTATATGTTTTTTTAAAAAACAAGTATCTTACAATATTTTCTAATACCGTCTGTTAACACTTGCAATGAAAGTGGATCTTAATGTGCAGTGTATTTCTAGATATTATGTGTTTTGTTGATTTTCTAAGTGAAAATATGTTAACACATTCTCTACAAGGAACAAACCCGAACATATGATTTTTATGCAAATTTTAGCACATAATTTCAACTATTTTCTGAGTAACGTTTTAGTAAAAAAGGTAAAATAATAAATTTGCCATAACTTGTGCACAGGTCACAATTTATATTTTATTTTCCTCCAATATGTAAAATTTGGCAAGTAAACAGTAACTGTGCATTAAAATGTGCAGAAGGGTGCTCTCTGTAGAGGATGTGTTCACTTATTTTCACCTAGAAAATCAACTAAACATGTAATTGTGGCCAAACTTTAGCATTTGTATGTCACTGGTGTTATCAAACACAGGGGATTGTCTGAAAATAGCTGACACATTAGTATCAACAGTTTTATTTATGAAATCATTTTAAATAAATATCACATACTGGGGTTTAAGAAAGTGTAACCCCAGTGACAGACAGACGTTATTGTCGTCTGAAATGGCAAATAAGAGATACATTTGTGAAAAATCAACTTCTGATTCAAAGCTTTGAAATGGCACGCCACTGACCTTGTGACCCACGGTCTAGTTACACTGAAATTGAGCAAACACATCAAAAGCTTATTAAAGTGTTCTGGTAACGGCAGTGACCTGAAAAAATGTATTGTTTTGCATTTAAAGTACTTTACTAAGTTCAAATGTGGTCGTGTGACACCCTGTTTTGCATACTCAGACTTGCATTTATACATTATGAAACATTATCTGAATGTACACAAAACACTGCAGGCATATTTTGTATTTAAACTGGGTTTTAACCTGGAACACACTCTGTCACCCTATACAGAGAATGACCCACACGTTATTACTTACGTCTTATTTCTTTTTGTTTTCAAACAATAACCACAGTAATAATTGTATTATTAATATTGTTGTCGTCGTCGTTGTTGTTTCTTCTGTTGAGTGACTGAATGGGTTCTACAGCAGCGAACGGCGAATCTTTTTTCCGGGCAATCTGATTGGACCTATAGATCAGTATGTGCCCTATCTATGCCCAATTGAGACCTTTCTCATCTATGCTTGGAACCCGATTATATCATGGGTAGCAACGATCTGGTTGGACCTAGTTGCTTTTATGACGTAGTACGGGACCTAAGAAAGTCCAAACTGTGCCGCTACTGTTCACCCAACGCAGGTCTGAATCAAATCGTGTGAAAAGCAACGAGAGGGACTTTTATTTTAGTAATAAAAGTCCCCGTTCAGGGTTTTCCGTCAGACTTCACGTGAGTGGAGACTGAAACGCTGCACTTTATCTCCTTGTTTCTCTTTTGCTGAGTTAGTATAATCTTTACCTTCATAACGGTTCAGACTTTGGACTGTTTGGACTTGTCTTGGTTGTTTTTTCAGAAGAGGCGGTGAAACAGGGCGGACTGTGAACATGGCTCAGTACGAAGAAGTTAAAGTTCACGGTTACGAGGAGTTTTGTAAAGCTGTGTCAGAAAGAAAAGGAAAAGACATCTTTGCTTACTTCAGTGGGGACAAAGATGACCAGGGAAGAAGCTGGTGTCCAGACTGTGTAAAAGGTACGAGGCTGAAGTCTGCCTTATATTCGCCAGTCTCTTGTTCACATTTTTCCGTTCCACCTTAAATGTTGCACCAATAAGACGCAGACCTAGTTTTCTTGTAAACGGTGGGGTTATTCTTTAACTAAATAACCGAAGAGGTAATATAATAGACTAGTATGTGTTTTATTTTTACTTCTGCTTCCTAGTAGTATTTGTCATTACTTACACCAAGATATGCCAACATTTTTGTATACAAGCAGGTTACAGGCTGCAGGACAAACGGATTAGAAGGTTTTGGACGTTTCAGGTGCAGAGTAATAATGTAATTTCACTTTTATTTCCATTTTCTTTTCTTCCAGCTGAGCCAGTGGTCCGAGGGGAGATGGAGCATCTTCCTGAAGGTTCAGTCTTCGTGTACTGCCAAGTGGGAGACAGGCCATAGTAGGTTGTCTTCAAAATCAGAATCAAATTTATTGGCCAAGTATGTTGAAACACACAAGGGATTTGGTTCCAGCTGTTGGTGTCTCTCTAGTATTATGTGCAATTTACAGACAGTATGCCATATACACTATACACGGTGTACAAACAATAGGCAGACAATTTACACATTATTTACATACAAAAAAAATACACAATATACGAGCAACATACATAACTGTGTGTGGAAGTGCAAACAACAGTAGTGCACCTCATGTATGGGAATGCAACTGTAGTGTACAGTGGTATGGATGTAAAGCAGGGTGTAATAACTATCAGGAGAAGACAGGGGTAGCTATGGCCTTGCAGATGATATTACTGGCCAGCTGTTTATGAGGGTGATGATGTGAGGAAAGAAGCTGCTCCTGTGTCTGGTAGTCCTAGTGTTCCACTGACAGACGGCAGGGGACACAGTGAGCTGGGAGAATTTAGAGGAGAGGATTTCAGGGATGATGGTGTTGAACGCCAAGCTGAAGTCCACAAACAGGATCCTTGCATAAGCCTCTGGGCAGTCAAGGTGTTGCTGGATGTAGTGCAGTCCCATTCTGACTGCATCATCCACTGCCCTGTTTGCCCTGCTTGCCCTGCAAGGGTCCAGGAGGGGTCATGTGACATCCTTCAGGTGGGCCAAAACATGTCATTCAAAGGACTTCATGACCACAGACATCAGAGCGACAGGCCTGTAGTCATTCACTCCTGTGATGGAGGGTTTTTTGGGAATCGGGATGACGGTGGAGCGTTTGAAGAAGGAGAGGACTTCACACAGCACCTAGGATCTCTAGAATAGCTGCATGAAGATTGGAGCCAGTTGGTGGGCACAGGCTTTAAGACAGGACGGGGACACACTGTCTGGACCTGGTGCTTTTCTGGCCTTCTGTCTCTGGAAGAGCCTGCTCACATCCACTTCACATATCTGAAGTGTGTGTGTGTGTATTGCCTGAGGTGTGATGGGGACTGATGTCATTGAGCTGGAGTGATTGAAGGGTGTGAATTTGTCCCTCTCAGATCTGCAGTAGAATTGAATAGTCTTTTCAGTGATGTTGTGATGAAGTGCTGTTTAAATCTGGATGAAAGTAGTCACAGCGCTGCATCTGTGTGTGGTGCTTTTGTATGTTGTGTTCATTAGTTCATTGTTGAGATTGAATGGTTAAAGGTTTAAAGTCAACTTTTCTCTCACTTACACTATTATTTTTATTCTGCCAGCTGGAAAGACCCTAACAATGAGTTTAAGAAGACTCTAAAACTCACAGGAGTCCCAACTCTACTACGCTACGGCACAGTGAGTATCAGTTAATGTATTTCTTAATGTTTCTATAATATTTAAATAGATCTGTCCTGTTTTATATTATTTTAGTATGATGATTTACTAAAGCCAGATGTAAAATATCTTGTGTTCTGTCACAGTCATGAAATTTTAGTTGAAAGTTAATTGCCATGTAAATAACTGATATTTAATTCAATTTTTTGAAGGACAATGTCTTGCTTACTAGCTGTCTTTACTTAGTAGTTCTCATCTGAAGACAGGAACAGCTCAGCTCAAATACACAAACATTTCTCACAGCTGCCCTCTAAATGTGCTGTTAAGGCTGTACTATGTAAGATTTTTTTTTATTTTTGTTAAAATTGAAAGAAGTAGCATTACTGGGTGTGCATGCGCTGAAAAATAATTTAAGACAGAGGTGTTGGTCAAATTTTATGGGAGTTTTTTGGACCACATCATACATCTTACCGTTATTAATGTCACAACAAACATTACTTATCACTGCCCTCTAAAGCTTTTCTGCACCAGTCAGAGGTTAACACTTTTTTTCGTAAGATGTGTTGTTAACATGACTTTGGACAGTAAAAACTGTGGAAAATAACTGCGGTCAGCATAAGTAATTGTGATGAGACGATTACTTTATAATTCTGACCGGCCTGGTTGTGTTTAAATCTGGTGTGTAATTACATCCTAATGGCATATCTCATGTGTCCTCTCTTCCTTTTACTCAAACGTAAAATGTCCCTGTAGTTTGTCTAAATGAAAATACTGTTTCATTATTCATGATCAGTGTATTGTATCCTGTGTATTCTAGCCACAGAAACTGGTGGAGGAGCAGTGTTTCAAAGCAGACCTGGTTCGGATGATGTTCACAGAAGATTAGTGCCTCCTGTGGGTGTGGTGGTAGTTTTATGCATACTGTAAAATGCATCTCAGACATTTGATTTGATTTTCTTTGTAACTTTTTCTTTCCTTACATTTCTTTCAGTTCAGTCTGTTAGTCTTTATTATATCTGGTCAGCTGTATCTCTTACTGTGGAATTAGAATTAAGTGTCGACTTGTATGACAAAGTAAAAATCCTAATATAATATTGTGCACACATACAGGTGGTATGTATTCACTACAATGTAAAGGGAAAATCTAGTCCTGTATAGCGCTTTCTTTATTGTAAGTGACTTAAAGGTCCTCAAAAATAAAATTTAGAAATAGCAATATAATCTCTTAAAGATGGTGTATAGTAAACTATACAAATATAAAAAGCTTATGATTTTTGTAAAGAAAATGTCATTTTGAAATTTTAAATTTAAATTAAGCTTTGTTCAAATTTGTGCTTGCAGTACTACAAAACTAATAAAAACATAATTGTACTAATTCTGTTGATGAATTGTATTCATTTTGCTGCCTTCCACAAGGCTTTGACTTGATAGGTGGAGGTGGTTGGAGTGAAAGGTGAAATGCAATATTATTGGTTAATGTTATTTTTCTTGCCTGATGGTGCACAGTGATGTAACAAAAAATTTAAAGACATTTTAGAGGCGGGTTAAAGTCATTACATTTTAATTGAATATTATGGAAAAACTAGAATCATTCTCATTTAGATGATATGATGAATTGTGCTTAGGTCAGTTTTGCTTTTCAATTCTGAGATGTGTGTAGATCAGTTTTAAATGTACAGGGAAAATATTTATAACCTTGTCACATTAGATTGTTGGTCTTTCCCTTTTCATGTATATTGGTTGCTGATCAGCAGCACTTTTTGTTCATTATAAATTATCTTTAAATAGCACAGTTAATGTCAAAAAATAAGTATCCCAAGAAAAGACAGCATTACTGTCAACATAATTTTAGATTAGGTAGTTTGAAGTCAAAATATCGACATTAAAGGCCCATATCATAGAAAACTGAATTTTCCTCACTTTCTGTTCAAATAAAACAGTTTGATGTAGGATGTAAACTTTTTTTCTGTTGTCAAAACATATTATTCACTGCCAAGTCCACACAGTCCATATAAGGAAACTAAGCGGCAAAAACAGCTCGTTGAATTTACTGTTTCTGTGATGTCATGAAAATAACATGTTTACATACACTATAGGGACAAAAGTATTGGGGCACCTACACATTACACCTACAGCTGCTTTTTATGACATCCCATGGAGTATTTTTATTCTCAGTCCAGCAGTGACACTGAGGTGTTTAAAAACTCCAGCACTGCAGTGTCTGATCCACTCGTACCAGCACAACACACTAACACACCACCACCACGTCAGTGTTACTGCAGTGCTGAGAATGATCCACCACCTAAATAGTACCTGCTCTGTGAGGGTCCATGGGGGTCCTGACCACTGAAAAACAGGGTAAAAGGGGGCTAAGAAAGTATGCAGAGAAACAGATGGACTACAGTCTGTAATTGTAGAACTTCAAAGTGCACCTATATAGTAAGTGGAGCTGATAAAATGGACAGTGAGCATAGAAACAAAGAGGTGGCTTTAATGTTATGGCTGATTGGTAATTTCACAAGACAAGGAAAATATTTACAGTAGTTTTAAGGGCACAGTAACTGTAATTTTAATTGTAAGGAAAAGAGAGGTTAAGGAATGGCTGTTTTTGGTACATAAGATAACCACTTACATATTATAAATAGGCCTAAAGGGGAAAATAAAATACAAAAGCATTTTGCACATTTAAAATGGATATTTTAACAATGTTAGACAAAATGAATATGGATTCAGAAACCTATTAACCTGTATTACACACATGAATATTCTGCAGTTTAAAAGAATTGACCTGCACTAGACTTAGTAGAATTAGTGTCCATATTTGAATAGAAGACTCATTTTGTGCATGATTGGGAAATTAATGAACTGGTCTGGACTTTCACTGTTTAACTGGACTTCACTGTATCCCATAGGAGTACTGTATAGAAATACCGTTTGAAGGCCATGCTAGTAATCCATTTACAGGTCCTGACTGGGTTAAGGTGCAGTTCCTCCATCTCACCACTAGATGCCGGCAGTGCTGCGCTTAGCTGTGGATGTGAGCAGCCAATGAGCGCTGGGCTAAAAGCAGAGCGCATTCCTCAACAGCGTTTCAGCGGCTCGTGCCCACGCGCTCCGCACCGTCGGTGCTCTTCACGGAAAAAATATACAGGGGTACCGTCTTCGGTTTTTGTGGCTTCCTCTGAGCCTCTCGGGTTTTTCTCCAGTTCAGGTTACTGGGTCTACCGGCGGCGTTAACCGTTCGTCCGTCCCAATCCGGAGAGACAGACCATGTCGGAGTTTCTGGTGAATCTGCTCGGAGAGCGGCTCGTCAACGGCGAGAAAGCCGAGGTGGACGTGCAGGCGCTGGGCAGCGGGCTGTCTCTGCTCGGCCTCTACTTCGGCTGCAGCCTGAACGCTCCGTGCAGGCAGTTCAACGCCAGCCTGTGCGAGTTTTACAGCAAGTTCAAGAAATCCTCGGAGCACAAAGACAAGCTGGAGATCGTCTTCATCTCCTCGGATCAGGACCAGAAGCACTGGCAGGACTTCTTGCAGGAGATGCAATGGCCGGCTTTGCCTTTTAAAGACAGACACAAAAAGGTGAGTGGCGGGATGAGGCTGAGGCCAGTTCCCCTCACTGCCCTTAAACCTCGCCGTGTTTACCGTTCACTGTAGGCGACCAGCCGCTGGATTTCTCCCTTTTCTTAAACAGCTGGCTCTTGTAAACAGGTGTAGCCTCTCCTATTCTGACTGGGTGGCTTTTTGATTGTGGGGACCCTAGAAGTTGTGGGTGTTTTAGATGGTCTGTGATGGTTTTGGGTGTTTTTACTAATTGAGTCACTTTTCTGCACCGTTACTCTGAGAAGCTGTAGTCTTCATTAGCAATTAGCAATAACTGATTTCCATTTTCTAAGCCTGAGAGCAAGTTCGGTTAAACTAATCTCACAACCTGGTGAACTGATTTGTTTCCACATTCAAACAGTTCCTCTGTTTTCATTTAGCTGCCCACTGCTGACAGAGGCAAAGGAAGAAGGTGAAGAGAACAAATGTGTTCATTTTTAGAGAGGAAGAGAGACTTAAAGTTTTATTAAATACCCTCATTTGACACGCAGATATCTTTATTTTGTCATGTAACCGTCAGAACCTTACAAGGCGAAAGTAAGCCTCTAATTCGCCAGCTTCTTTTATGAATTTTTCCGGTCCACCTTAAATGGTGCAGCCGTTACATGTAACTGCTTCCATCATTTTAAGGTGGAACGGGAAAATTTAGACAAGAAGCTGGCGAATTGGTGATGACTAAGCTGGTCAACTTCTTAATTCGAATTTTCCCGGTCCACCTTAAGTGGTGCCTCGGTTACGTGTAACTGCTACACCATTTAAGGTGGAACGGGAAAATTCGAAAAGAAGTTAAGCCTCGTCATAACCTTTAAAGACGGGAGAGCAGGCGCTTTGTAGTGCAGGGTTAGGAGGGTTACTTAGCTACAGGCTAAAATAACGCGATTTGTGAGGGAACTGCCAAAAATCACACCAGACAACTCTAATGTTTATTTAAAGCCTAACTCTGATTATCTCTAATCTCATGATTGTAGTTTACAGGGTGTGGTTTCATAAAAAGGCGCAAACCACCTACATTTTCAGCTCCAAAGCACATTTATTTGGAGAATGAACAAGGTCTAGCGGCTATTCGTGCTACGCCCTTTCACATTAGACACGAAATATCGGAGAGCATTTTTAACATCATTGCTGATTTTCAGTTTTGCTTTTTAGTGCAACAGTGGTGTGATTATTTTTACTCTCAGGAAAATCTTATTCTCTCAAAAAAGAGTCTTTCGTTTATTTATTTATTTATTTATTTTTATTAATTCATTGAAATGTCTGTGAGGTGAGTGAGGCTGTACAGTAGCACTGTAATGGACATTGTGAATGTCCTGCTGCAGAATTGATAATTCTTCAAATGCCAAGAGTGACTCACAAAACATCCTCCTCTGTAATTTACTGACAAGAACAGATTTCCCTTTTTTCCTTTTAGTAACAGAATTTAGGTCACAAGGTTGGTTTATTTATTTATTTATAAGAAAAGCTTTACAGTCTTATAATTTTAATCCGTTTATTTAATATTGCCATTGTGTACAGACACATGAGCATCACTCATAATTGTCAAGTTTTGTGACAGCTGCTCGGTTGTTGTGTTCCAGTGATTTTAGGGCTCTTTTTTTAGGTCCTCTATACTGTTGACTCGTGTTACATTGCACCTCTCGTGTGAATCTCGTAATGCTTTGTTGCTCCTGGTCTGTGTTTGTTTTGTAATGGATTATACTCTGTGCTATAACATGCATCTGGATCGAACTCTGATTCGCCCCTCCGCTGGTATCCGTTTTGGTCCATTGCCCCGGCTCCACCTCCCCTCTGCGTGTGTTGGCATGTTGACCGGTCATGCACATTTTCACATTTTACACTTAATAGCAGTGATACCACCGTGCAGTACCACATAATCTCTGTGGTATTGTCAGTAAAGCTTAGAGACGGCAGGGCCGGTGAGAGTGGATATGTGCCTGCATCTGTGTGATAGATGGAGGAGGGTTACGTTACACAATGCAGGTTGGATTTGCACTGCATTCCTTTCCAGCAGTGAGTCGGTCGTAATAAATGCATCTTCGGAATCATTTCCTTCAGCAACCTTTTACGTTAAAGGGGAATTCCTCTGACTTTTTTCTCTGAAATTTCGGTGTGATCCAGTGGTTGAGATGTGAAAATTGACATTCACAGTGGTTTGATGTAAAATGCAGTCAGAATCATTCACTGTGGTGGTGATGGGAACCAAGCGTCTGTAGAGTTGAATGCTTATGAAAGCTCTTTCACAGAAAGATACACGAAATATGATCCTTATGTTTGTCTTATGAAAAGCTTTTGGCCTAAAAAAAATACATGCACAGGGGAGGGGTGCATGCAGGGTGTTGTAAGACAAAATAGTCCCCAAAGAAATTACTTCAGATTTTCCACTATTTCATCCTCATCAACATTACATACAAAAACAAGTGTGTAGGTTCTCTGATTGTTTTGGGTAGTAAGTAGAATGGCTATATTTGTGTTGTAGACATGGTGACCCCTGGTTCCCATCACCACCACTGTAAAGAAATCAGAGTCAGCAAGTTTCTCTACAGCGCACCGCTTTACATCCAGCCACTCTGAGTGATTTTCTTAATGATTGAATTATGCAGAAACTAAAAAAAGAAAACAGAATTGAGGCCATACTGAGTAAAAAAAAAGCGAAAAGCTCACCGTGGATAATGGTTTACAGCAAACGTTACTGAAGTCATGTGCATGTATTATTTGGATCTGTGGTGTGGTTGTTTTTTCTGACTCTCTTTTGGCCTGAGCTGTAACTTCGAGATCAGGTCAGTGAGTTTGCAGGGCTAGGCTATTACTTTCTGCTGAAATGTTATTTCACATTAATTATCCTGCAGACATTGTGTAGTCACGTAAAATATTCGATGGCTGTCTGCGGCAGTGCACTGAAGCGTGAATGTTGCAATTAATGCATTTAGGGGATTGTAAGTGATGCAGTGATGCATTCCTTTTCCATTAAAAACAGCTCAAGAATGCGCAGTATAGGCGTTTGGATGTAACAGTAAGTATATAAGTGTTTTTGCTGTTGGACGCTGACTGTGGTTCAGCTGCTGTCTGAATGAGCTGATGATGGCTGCTGTCATCATACTGCAGTGAAACACACTGAAAAAACTGCTTATCTTTACTGTGGTGCTCATTAGCCGAACGTTTAGACATGTGCGTGTTTACTCAGTATGCAGTGCATTCCTGGGTGAAACGTATAACCAGATGTCTCGGTAATCAGGCCTGGCAGTGCAGTAGTTAGTGAATGTAGGCCTGTTTCCATTATAACCTGACCTGATGTACAGGTTGTGTGGGTGAATAGATTTGCTGGCTGCTGCAGGTTTAGGTTACAGTTGGAAAGCCCACCTGAGCTTCGGAGAGCTTTGTGGTGTGACGGGCCTGTTGATTGATGGATGGAACGTCCTCTCTGCTTGTGTGAGGGGGAGGGCAGTGGACGCTGAGGGTGGACAAGAGGCTCCGAATTAGAGGTGAGCTACGGTCAAGGTGGAAAAACTGAAGAGATCATGGATAGTAGGTACTTACTCTATCTGTATATCTACCTACCTGTCCATTTCTCTGTCTGTCTGTATGTCTGTCTGTCAATATATCTGTTTGGCTGTCCATGTATGTGTCTGTCTATCTGTCTACATGTCTATCTTTCTAAGTATCTATCTGTCTATCTATCCAGGACACTGAGTATTAAGTACCTTGTCTGTCTGTCCAGGACATTGGGTATTAAGTCCCCACTCTGTCTGTCTGTCTGTTTTTCTTTCTTTCCTTTTTCACCCTCTCTCTTTTTTTCTCTTTCTTTATTTCCTTCTCCTTTTTCATTTTTCACTTTGTCTCTCACTCTCATTCTCACTAAATTGTCATTTCTTTGTTTCTTTCTTTCTTCTTTCTTTCTTTTGTCCATTATTCCTCTCTTGCTGCTTTTTCCCTTTCTCTTCTTGTACTTTTTTCTTTCTTTCTGCTTTCTTTTGTTGTCTTTTTCTCATTCATTCACTCTTTCTTTTTTCTTGCTTTTACCCTCAATTTCCTTTTTCTCTCTTTCTTGTGCCCCCTCCTTCTCCTCTCGTAGACCCCTTGCTCATATAGGTCACTCTTTCAGTCCCTCATCACCTGGCCCCCTTTCTCCTCTCCTCTCACTTCTCCTCCTCATCCCTCCTCTTCTCTCTCTTCACGCCATGCAGAGCTTTGTTTACCTAGTCTTGCTCAGTTTCAGCTCCTTCGCCACAATTAAGTCCCTTGCTACAACACCGCAAGACATTCAATACAGGATGTACAGCAGTATGTGGGCCTGAATTAATAAGAAGTAAATTCATTATGACTTGAACAGTATAAATCGCAGCTTTTCAGCGCTTGATTTATAACACGGCTAATGAATCGGAACTGATGGTGTGTTGGTGTAGGTGAGGAACGACTGGCACTTTTCTCCACTGACCACAGCCAGTTTTCGCTTTAGTTATGGCAGCCACCAGTCAGTGACATCATCAGAGCTGTTTAATGTGTGAATGTGCAGCTCTTGGATACTTTGCTTTGCTATTTAACTTTTTTTTGTTGTCTCTCCAGACAGTGCTTTGGAGCAGAGAGAAGTGACCAGGGTTGACGGAGCCGTTCTGCTATTCTAACTGGCCTCAGTGTCTGCCTTTTCCTTCAGCATTTGAGAGGAACCAGGCAGGTTCTGTGTAGGGGTGGACAACATGGTGATTTGTTATCGTTATAATGATAAATTATGTCTCAGTATACTTTTCTGAGTATATACTGGGCATCGTCAGAACTTCTAGACCAATTACAGGATCATAAAAAGACAGCCAGTTGTAGAGAGGCTGCAAACAACAATATATAGTAACTTAGCAATTTACCAATGCAGTTTTTCATAGCTTATTTTAATTGTGACATTTTGCCCATTTCAAATTTGAACAAACCTCATGTATTATGAAAACATCTTCCAAAATATCTTTTGCTTAATTCTGAGGTATTGATTGAGGTTG